TTTGTAGTTGTAATAATGAACAACTGAAGTAAGTAATCAAAACAATTATGTATAACTCACACGGTCATCCAACATGCATAAAGCAACTGTCCAATCCAATTAAGTTTCAAAACAGCAAACATTAAATTAATTAAATATAAACCAAACGTGGTCAAATGTTTCCCTTCTTGCTTCTGCCTTACTTCTCTCCATTCAACAACTGCTGTCAGTTCCAATTGTATGGGACGCAAGTTGTGCAATACAGAGCGAATTCAACTGGTCAATTTAGTCCTTTTCCAATTCAAGTACTATAGAATATAAATGTTCTCATTCTTAGATGATGCTTAAATGCATACTTCTATTTTATACAAATAATTTATGATTACTGTTATTAATTACTGTTGTCATTGTCATTTTTAATATATTGGGAATTAAAATTCATGTTTTTTTTAACACCTTGTAAACCATCCAAGTACCAAGATGCTGTGAAGACATGTTTGTATACTGCTGAAGTAGAGAACTACTTGCTGACCAATGGTCAAGATGATGAACCTGGTTTGTTGGGCCTCAACAAAGAAGCCTTGCATCGATCAAATCCACATCGCAATGTAAGTTAACCTTCCAAAAGAATAGTGTTGAGCAGCAGTGTGAAAGGTTCCCTGACGAGGAATCCAATGCCCCAAATGAGGCATGTTGTGGCAAAATGGCTAAGTTGTAGCAAAATTTGAAATTCAAGTTATTGGTATTTTCATATACCTGAGTATGTTATCTTTAAAATGAGGGGTCATTCATTGAAATTGGACTTTTCAAGCCTAAGTTATTGGAAAGTTAAAATACGGCACTCTTAGAGTCAAGATAAACATGATTTTGAGTAATTGCCTTCCAAAGTTATTTGTGCATACATTGTTTAATAGAATTAACTATCTAAATAACATTAAATAAACAATTTGTTGACCACTTCCAGAACTAATACTTTGGGACATGATTAATAAGACATTAAACTGATCTATAGTGAAAAACAAATTTTGATTTTTAAGCAATTTTTTGAGCTCCCATATTTTATAGCTCATTTACTCAATACTGGCCTGTGCGACAACTTAACCATTTCACCACTACATGCCTCAAATGTGGTTCCAACAATCAAACTTGCATAAAAGTATTAAACTTGCGATAAAATTCAATCTGAATTTCATATTTGTATTGAAAATCACATGACGTGAAATACGTTAGCTATGGAATATATATAATATGTTGTTGATTTGTTAGCGTGTGCAGTCAATACAGCAGCAACTGATACCGCAGATTGAGGAGCGACTACAACAAAAGTGCCAAGCACTTGTGGATTTTCACGAAGCACCGTCAGATAAAGGTATGAACACTTGCCCATCCTACAACATTCTTGCCTTTGTGAGTTCAGTGATTTCAATATAAGATATGTCAAAACCTGAGCATGACCTCGCAGGACAGAGTGCCATCTCTTTCTTCTCTGTGTTCAGGCTAGACTCCTTCGCACAAACAAGTTTCTTTTAACATTATTATTGTATTTTACTGATATCCATTTACACACCTAGGTAGATAGACAAATGTAGGTTGTGTCTTGAGCACGGACTCAAGCAAATTAAACAGAAAGAGGCGCTTAAGCGCTGTCCAGACTATTAAGTTAACAGTTTCGAAACTCCTAATGATGATTTTCACCAACCAGTGACAAAATTATAGCTTCAGCGGGCATCTAGCCACCTCTTGGTGGTGAAGGTTTCGGACCATTCAGTGAAACAATCATTTGCGGTGAAAATATACTTATATACAAATTCCCTTTCATTATCACTTATGACGGTTTTCACCGACCTGTAACGAAAGTATCAGCCTTAACATGCATTTTTTTTAGCCATTTTACCAAATAACAAGCCCTGATAATGTCTATACTTTACCTCAATATAGTTGAAGGTCCTTTGTCACAGATTTTAAGGTGCCAAAACCATTGTCTAACACCCATTACCTTTTACAGACAGTAGTGATAAGTTAGTATTTGCAAAAGCAACAAAACTACCAGATGTTCTACAAGCTGAATGCAGTAAGCTAGAGGAAGAAAAAAACAAACTAAAGATGGCTCGAGCAAAACGAGACAAACAGTTCTGGCAGTACTTTCAGGTAAACATGCAAATTAGAATAATGAAACCCATATTCAAGTTTCAACTGTGCACGTCAGTGTTGAAGATCAAATCACATGGTGTAGGGCCTACTGTATGTTGATCTGAATTTAAATATGCAAAGTAAAAGAAACATTACTAAAGTGGCCTGTCTTGTTCCTTTAGAATTATGCAAGTATACTTTTGACGATTACCATTGCAGGCATTGATGCAGTGTATATCGACGTTGGAGGAACTGATCAAGAAACATCGTCTGCAGCTACAAGCAGACAGCGACAGCGTGACTAGTGATTGGCTGAGTGTTAGATGCCAGGCCATGTGTCTTAAGATACGGTCAGTCAGTCCAAAATTTATCAGTGGTAATCACTTTAATCTGACTACTAGTCCTACTTCTGCTGCTACTATTACTACTAAGCAATAAGAGTACTGTAAAGTAATTTAAAATGTATAGATTTATTATTTATATAGCACCTTCCCCTGATCATTGGGTCAACATGCTTAAGTGTTGCTGTCATATTGGCAACACACATTACACATATTGTTAGCAGGCAACCCCACCCACTTCTACTCCTAGGTGGAGAGGAGCAACGCAGATAGTGCCTTGCTCGACCTTGCTGCGCCAAACCGCTTCCCCAGAGTTACCAAGCATAGTAATATAGTGGTATATGGTGATAGTAATGTTAAATTCTAGTTTTGATACTTGTTTTTTCTTCCTTAGTGTGTTCAAAGCCCAGTTGCTATGTGATACATACTCAGCAGAAGTTATCGAGACTCACAAGCAAATAAAGTAAGTACTGTATGATTGAAATTCCTGATGTTATCAACCAATCTTTCCTTTGTTCGACTTTTTACTCAATTTTGTTGTGTGCTGGTGGGGGAAGTAGACATTTTCCTATCATCTCTATAAGTGCAAGAATGATGGCATACCTGTTATTGTGTCATAAAATAGAAATAACAGTCTTGCTTTTTTTTCATGATCATATCGCTATGCCAAAGTTACTACCCTTTATTATTTTCTATGACCAGTTAATTTAATCAACATTTTCATTTTAAAATTATTTATCTTGAAGGAGGCATTTGAGCCATGCATACCATGAAAATGAGAAAGAGTTGAACCGAGTGACACAGGCACTGCAGTCCTATCAAGCACTTGGCATGGGCTTCGATAAGATGGTGCAGGAATACGAACAACTTCAGGCAGATATCGAGAACAAACGCTGGGCCTTGTCAGAGTTCAAGGCTAGCATGGCAACATCTGATGACTGGAGATGAGGGAAGGAGAAATAAAAAATACTGGACTAGTTTATGCTGACGAGTGGTCATAATCTAGAACTAGATACCGCCGCCGCCACTCAACTTTTTGTAATCTTTGACCTCTTTACTCCAAAATTATTTTACATAATCCTATGAAGTTCATTTGTGTCCTTGGGTGAGATATTTTACTTGCATTAGTCTCTCTCTACCCAGGAGTGATTTTTATATCCATAGTATGTGATGTGATTAACTGAATAATAAAACATAATAATAAACCTCCATGCTTGTTCATTTTTATTCATTCCATTTTAAATAATAAATGAAGTACTGTACTGTATATAAAATATATAACTATGTTGTCTACAGTACTTATTCTGATGACTAGAAGTAAAGCTTGTCTTGGCTTTACTTGCTTTGTATGCAAGATCATCATACAGTATTACTATACCATATGCTTTATTCATCTACACCTGGGGTTCTCAACTGACGACCCACGGGTGCGTGTTGTGAGGCCCGCAAGAATAAGCCAAAAATAATATTTCCTGTTAGGCTTGGGCCTAGGTTTGTAACTTTAATAATTTTGCCATCTAGGCCTATGTATTGCCCCACAAATCGTAGCGAATTAATTTTTAAAAATTGGAAGAACTACCGCAATGTAATGTATTACCAATGTCATTTAGAACATTTTGACTTTGCATTACCAAACACAAGGGGTAACTTTCTTAGGTCAGGATGGCATGTGTGAGCATCTAGAGGCTTATTATTCAAAAAAAAATTTCTAATTCGGGAAGAGGGAACACCCAAACCTTTCCCTGCGGAGCTCGGATGATGCTACACACCATAGTACTCTTGCCATTAAGTTTATTCAATGGAATATTTTAAAATAATATAATCATTTTTTGATCAATTTTATTTAGTATCTTTTTTAAATATGTATATTTCTTGTATATTATAATTTATAGATGTTATTTTTCCTTTATACTTTTTCTGGCAGTCCTTAATGTTCTCAATTGGCTATACAGTGTTTCCCTTGTATGAGAGAAATTGATGTTTCAAAACTTAACTATTATCCTCTGAGTTAATCTTCCATGTCCATAAAGTAGTTGGTTTATTTCTTCAATTCAATCTTCCTGAAGTTGACTGGAAAGGCTTCTATGAATGATTATAAATCAATGGGGAAGTTACCGATAAGCACTTGCAGAAGAAAAGTTTACTGGTTCCACACAAAATATTTTAAATACTTTTTCAACTTCATTTAACCATGGACATCTAACTGTGTAGTTAAATGTCCTTGATTTAACAAGGGTGTTCTTTTATTGCACAACCTGAAGTGAAAGTAAACTCTTATGATATTTTAGACTGGATCATTAACAGACAGAACCATAGCAACAGTTTATTTTGCAATCTGCAGATGTCAGTCATCTGGTAATAAAAATTCTTGAATTTCCTCCTTCATTTTCGACCTATAAAAATACAATGTTTAATTTATTGATTTTTTACTACTTGTGTATAAATAAAATATATAATCAAAAGTATATCTCCCGATGTTGTTTTTCTGTGTTTTAAGTGTTTGAAAGAATAACAATTGATCTCTGTTCCATACAAGAGCTTTTAGAGTGCTGTTCAGATTTATGCATGAATTTTCCAAATGTCTGCATATCAAGCATTAGACCAAAGTGTTGATCCTAGTTGTGGTGACAGATTTGAACTTTTCCAGCTGATTCGTTTTCATAGTATATCGTTAATAGTAGGCTTGATTTAAGCATTTCATAGATGAACAGCAGTTTGTCACAAAAAAGCAAAATGTGTGAGGTCTCACTACGAAATGAGACACATTGTTGGTAAAATCATATTGAGACATTCACCAAACAATTTCAATTTTAACGTTTTTGAATAACTTGATACTTATATTTTATGATTGTATACGTTTTAAGTAAATTTTTTTACTAAAACGGTGTTCTCTGCACATATTCTGTAAATCTAGTCATAATATTTGTACAGGTTAGTTTATCTTTGAAACTGATTTTCTAAAAAGGTGGTTCTCGTACACATGCTCACATCTCTGGATCTACTTAACCTAGGGAAACCATTCAAAGACCAAATTAAAGCTTATAATGTGATCAATTACCATGAGACACAGTTTGTGGCAAGACCTCAAAAATGTCCTTCATAACCCCTCTTAATTAATAAAGCCATAAAATTAGATGAAAACAATCAAAGAGTTACAGATATACACCAAATGACAAACGAATTGGATAATGTACTGTATATCTTCTTGAATTTTCTTTTTTCTTGAGTTTTGGGAACTTGAAAAATTATGAATTTCATACAGGGTTTGGAATGTCATAGAAAATTATGGAAATTGATCTCGATTATGGAAAAGTAATGGAAATATTTGGCAGTGTGGAAGTCAAAATATATTGCTTTCACTTCGCATCGGGGTCACACTGCTGCATGCTCAGAAAAGTATTTTGTGCACTTTATTTTCTGTGACATACGGTTTTGGAGATTTATATGTATTGATACGGAACCGTTATAGACATTTTTGTGAACCAAGGTGTATGAAGGGATAAATTATAATATGGAACACATACCTCCTCGCTGTCTTTTCCACCGCTGCTGTCAAGTGTGTTGGTAGAAGATTGACATCTGTCACATCTCGTATCGTGACACGACAACCATAGCAAAGGTGGCTTTCAACATCTTCCATAGTAATTCTGGATAACAAAAGTGAATTTTGTAAAAAATAATTATGCCGACATGAGCTCAACTCAATGAAAGAAATAATTCAATTCAGTTTTATTTCTTCAAATGCCACCAAGGACAAAGAACAGAATGTAATATACATCCTATAATGAACTGTAGCTCTGTCCACTGTTGTATGCCCATATTTAGTCATGTGCCTATATATGGACATAGTATCTCATCATGACCATATTTAGGCATGTCATGTTTTGACAGGGTTTTAAACAACTTACTTGCTAATTTTGTTACTCTGACAACTGCCATCCCCTTCACCGCAACACTGCTTTTGATTGCCTGAGCTAGGCTGACTTCTTGCCATCTTGCTTCTGCAAGTCTTGGACAGTGACAAGGAAAAGTTGGTTGCATTCAGGGCTGATGCTTCTGGAACAGATGTATCTAGGGAAGCCTAGGAACCAAAAAACATGTTTCTGGCACTTATTAATCTTGTTTTGAACATCATCTTGTATTATGCAAATATTGTTAAATTGATTACCTGCCAATTTTAGTTTGTATGTAGTAAATACATGGGGATTATTCTTTTTGCTTACTGATTTGCATTAAAAATATTGAATCCATTCCTACCTTACATAGTAAACAAATATCTTGCGATAAGCTCCCATCGGTGCCCAATTTTTCACCTGTCCTGAAGTAAATCAATAAAATGAAACATAAAATTTATATATTGTACAACTTTAAAGATGGATGACAAATTTAAATAATTAATCAATAATTAAAGACCAATGTGTCTGTTGATTTCAACTTGGCAAAATCTAAAAAAAATTGTTATTGTATTTTTTTGCCCCATCATTTATTTAATACCTACGCCAAGCAAGTTATGTATTCCCCACTGTCCGTTAAAAAACTAAGGAATGCATCATCAAAAAATTTAGTGGAATGGTACATAATAATCTATGCACGAGATGATTAAATTTTGAGGTCAAAGAAAAATGTTAACCTCAAGCTTAAATGAAAATAATGGAATTGCCCATACACAGGACAGAGGTATGCATTCTATGGAGTGACTGCTCTAACATAGTTAAGTGTAAAAACAGCATATAAATTTGCCATTAAAGATATTCTGTGTGAAAAACCTAATCTAATGTGAACATAGCTTTAGACCCTAAACCTGCATAATGTTAAAACAGCTGACCAATTGGAGCACTGGCCCAAAACCCGTATAAATTGAGTCTACCATGCATCATATGAAATGATCATCGAAACCTTACCTGCATATTGTACTAACAGTTGAAGGGAAATCTGCTTGCAGTCCGTTTACAAACTCTTCGGTGAGTAAATTGATGCTCGCTTCAGAGCCAGCTTTTGTTGTCAAGGAAGGCACAAACATGGACTGCACATTATGGAAGTTATTGTACAGAACTATCTCCTTCTTTGTGAATTCCCTACATTTAAACATTATATGATTATGAATAAATTAATGCATGTACTGTAATGATAATAAAATATTCAACATAAGGTATGTCAATAAATAAAAATGTACAGTAAATTAATATAAAATATGTAATACAGATTTATAACTTAGAGGTTAATTATTACAAATAGATAATAATAATAATAATAATAATAATAATAGTTGGAAATCATGCAAAAAAGCCTCTATGGGCTCAGTGATTGAGTACTTTTAGTTCAATATTGTGCTAATGTAAAAAAAAATTGATGTAGCCCTTTAAAATTAAGCATGGTTGGCTGTTGGCTCTTAAGTGTTCCTCTGCCCTTTGTTTAGCTGTTTTTTTGTTCTTGCTGCTTGGTGTCCATCCACCCTACCACCTATATAACTATGAACTACTATGACCAACCTCAAAACAAACTTACAAAGTTGAAGTTGACAAAACTCACTTTAAAGGTCTGATAAAAGCTATATCACCAAGACGCCTATCAATAAATCCTGTATCTAATGGTAATGCAGCCCCCCTTCCTTGAGAGATGTTTGCTAGGATTCGAACTGATACAAGTGTGCCAGAGTCAGCTAGCATAATCTTGCTACAACCCCGCTGCCTTGCTACTTTCACCAATAGCTGATTCCTGAAAAACAACAATAATGAAAACACTGGTAAAACCTTATAAAAATACCCTCTAATTAAAGACTCCTCCAATTAGAGACCACCACCTATTAAATACCACTTTTGTGTGGCCTTAAATTTACAAATGTCTTATCTTTATTCTAATTAGCGACCAACACTGCTAAAGACCATCAAAACCATGATTCTAAAAGTGGTCTGTAATTGGAGACCTAACTAAAAACAATAATTACAGTAGCACCCTTCCATTTGACCCACATTATTTTGTGTACAATACCATGTAAAGAATCTCATTATTATAAAAGGCAAGTGTTAAAGAATTTAAAAATTAAATCAACCTCAATCGCCAAAGCAGGTCCTCTTTAGCTGTTAACGTTTTTGTAGATTCGATGAGCTTCCTCAACTTCCCTGCCAAACCATTGATACCTAATGAAGCCATCTGGTTTGATAAGTCATCAGCACAAGCACATCCTGCCACAGAACTGGTAGCTGGATCTGATGATTGGCTACAGGTGTCTCCAACTTGTGCTTCCTTGGTATCAGAGCTACTTTCATTGTGAGAGCTGATCAAATCTATTGGTTCCTCTGTTAAATATTCACCATCCATAAGACTCATCACCTTTTAAAAAATAAAAATATTGATATCATTCTTTTAATATCAATTGTTGTTTGTATTTGTCCAGGATGTAATAATAAATTGTTCAAATAAAACCATGTGTCTAGTGAGTTAATTCATCACTTTATATCTTTTATTCAACTAAAGAACATGAAAATGTTGTAAGATTACCTATACGACAAAGGTATAACTTGGGAATTCTATACAACAGAGCTGTGGTGTTGTCTGGGCCTGCTGAGAAAAACAAAAACCATGTGCACGGCACTGTGCGAACCAACCACTTAGCGTTCGTGTACGTGCAACAGCAACCATGTGCACTGCACTGGGCGAGCCAACTAATTAGCGTTCATGCACGAAATTATGCCTACTCATTTTCGTGTAGAAAATTCGATCAAACGAGTTTTATACACAAAGCTAAGGAGGAAAGAAATTATTTTGAGTACCATCAGTAGTTGTTCATCTCGCTCAGTTCATGTGGTTTTAGATTACAACAACCCGGTATTAGACTCAATCAAAGTTGCTGTTTAATGAAAATACATTGCATATGGTTTGTTTATTGTTAGGCCTTAAAAAAATGGTTTGTTTGCTGTCGCATTGTAAATATTTAAGTGAATAATTAAGAAAGATTACCAAATCGGTCTGTATAGAGGTTTGTAGAAGATGAGGGGTGGGATAAAAAAGTTTTTTTTTTTTTTTTAATGTAGAAACTAAATATATGTACACTATAGGTCTCCTTGCAACTTGGGACTATTTTTTTTGTGGTTTGGGATTGGAAGAGGGATCTTTAATTGGAGTAAGACACATGATTAATATAAACTAATGCACTATGTATCATGTCAAGCTCACTAGCTTCATTTACTTATTAAATGTGTTAAAAAAGGTACAAAGCCCAACAACCAACATTGTATCACCTTGGAAAAAGGAGTACCAACCATGAGGAGAGAAAAGTTTAGAGTTAACCAAGCGTGAAATGGTCGTAGTGGGCGTGCTATGGAACCAGCGGTCCTGCAAAATCAAAATTGTGTTGAAAAAAAATTGATTTTGTTTAAAAAAAAAAAACTTTAAAGAAAAAAAACAAAAAAAAAACTCACCCCCTCATTTTTCAGATATTAGAGGTGGCAGATGACGGTCAGATGAAATAATAAGCAGACAGAAAGCAACAAATCCTGTTTTACTTATGGTTGCTCTGAAAAGGGCAGTTTATTTGAATATTTTGATAACGTATATACGGGATACGTAAAAACGAGGTTCTATTGTAATAATAAAATTAAACTCATTCTGTATCGGCCCTCAGTGTTAAATCAAAACACTTTGTTTGGTAGCTCCAATTCTTCCCAGATAAGAACTTGAAAAGAGGAGGTACAGTGCATGTTGGCTAGTGTTCACTTTGCACCTTTTGGAAAAGCAGGGTTACACCGATGCTATGGCTCAATTCAGTCCCTGTCTACAGCTGCTATAGTAGTCACGGACCATGCCAATACGCAATTTAGCACAATGAAGCTGTGAGATATAAGTTATTCTCCTACTTTTACCATTATTCATACACACCTTTTCTAGAGACACAATATCAAATGGGATGCCAGTATTCTGTAGTCTCGAAGCTATCTCCTGCCTTCTGGCTGTTCTTTGATCAGCAGTCTGATCTGTCACAGCACCCTCTAGTTTCAGATATGGAGAAGATTTAAGTGAGTGAATAATTCACAAAAAAATAATTTTAATTCAAATTATACATTTATAATAATAATATTTATTTCAATTTGCAGTTAAGTCCATTAATCAGCTTTTAGAATATTATGTTTAAATATGCTTGTCTTTTATGTTGTTTATTTTTAGTTTGTCAAATTAATTTGAATGAATAATAATCTTGTTTTGAACATTTTTATGGTTGTAAATACAGGTCTCCCCCAGTTAAAGACCAATTTGGAACCAGGGCTTCCATGGTACTTTGAAAAAGCTGTATTGAATTTGGAGTGTAAACTGTAATTTGAATTAAAATGTAACCTAAAAAAATAAATAATATCAAAATAAAGAATTCATTAAATAATTTACTTCCTTACCATCTATGTGTGCCAAGTATGGGATGAATCGTAACTTCTTATGAACATGTTCTAGAAAACCCTAAAAAAAGGGCAATTAGCAAATTTCATTTATATTTATTCAGCTTTATCAGTGAAGTCTTATTACGAGGCTTAGGAAGTGGAGATGTTTTTTTTAGTGAAAAAAAAAATCCTGTGTATAAGAGATGTTTTTTTTAGTGAAAAAAAAAATCCTGTGTATAATAGACTATCACAGGATTTGAACCCAGGACCCTGATATTGGAAGGCAAGCATCTTAACCACCAAGCTACATCTTCACTTTACACAGATCCTTGGGTCAACATCAATTGTATTATTGACAACTATAACAGCCTGTTGAATTCATGAGAAATATTTTACCTGTTGTACAAGATGAAGCATTGCACAAGAACTGTGTCCGGCAGAATATGCCAACAGCACCTTCTCATCGTAAAGAATGAGCCGACCTTTACCGATGGCTGATCGAAACTTGTGTGTCATGTATTGGATAAAGCAGTTCCTAGGCACAAAAAATGAAAGTAAATGAAATTTATGTGTTTAATGATGCAATCGACAATAAAATTCTGATACCTGAGAAACCGCGGCAGCCACTGCGAAGCATGAACATGATCAGTACACAGCATGTTTTTAGGGCGCCCTGCAACCCAAATGCTCAGAACAGGCAAAAATTCTAGTTATAGCTGGCAAAATAAATGCTTAGTAGTAATAATTGAAATTTAAGTGTCATGATTCATCAGTGCAGTGGCATGACGTCTACGTGCACTCGTGCGGCAGTCCGCAAGGCACCGGGGTCCCCCCGATAGGGTCTCTGCTCTGGCACCCTGAAGCAAAAGAGCTTTGTTAATACATAATATCATATTGTGTCTCTGACATCGACTGTAGAACATAATCATATATCCAGTGATGGATTAAAGTGGAGACAACAAAAAAATTGCCATTTTCAGCATTCTAGAGGTGCCATAATCATAAATCTTACCTCAGCCCCACTATGGTTGGGGCTGAGGTAAGAAAATTTATGGTACAGAACCTCCATCTGTGAAATAGATCCCCATTTATTTCAAATTTCTGGATCTGATATCATATCATTTATTTCGTCACTAAAAAACAATGACAAAAATAATTTTAAAAAACGAGCACATCTAAAACGCCAATCTCGGATTGGCGACCGAGGCCCAAAAAGGGCCCGGCCTCGGAGAGCCACAGGGCCTCCGCCCCAGCGTTAAGCCACTGTATCTGTGATTATTGAATAATGCAGAGTTTTACTTACCTACAAAATGCATCATTAATTCTGATTAACAATACTGCTTTTTCTTCACATTTCATACATTTCCTTCCAGTTGTGCTACAGACAGAAATAAAAAGAAATTGTATTTAGCTACATTTGCATGCAGATTTATAGTCAGTGGTGTACTCAGGGGGTTTTCACAGTGCCTGAACAACCCCCTTTTTGTTCAAAACTAAAAAGAATAATAGTGAATTAATGAAAATAAATGGCAGAGTAAGTTTAGAGGTTAACAAACAATTTTTGGTGTAGTCATAGTTTTGCGCCCTGCGTAATATGTAGGTCTGCTGTAGGTCTAATGTGTAAACATACAACAGATCTGGCTAACATTTAACGATTTAAGAATAGTTTTCAATATTTACTGCAGAAAATAACAAATTTTATATTGAGTAGGCCTACATTTTTTCTTTTAAACCGTCAATAAATCGCGGGATTGTTGGTGACTCTAACTTGATGAACACTGTTCTATACGTAATCATGGCATAGTTGGTTTTCTGTTTGACCTCTCTTTGTGCACCGACAATTTGTTACTAAAATATGCTGCGCTGCGACTTTTTATAAGTACTGTGAAAGCATTACACATTACATGGTGAAGTAGCCTATTCTAAAAGTGCTTGTCCACGGACAAGTAGTCCCTAAAATTCTTGTTGTCCGACTGCATAAAGCACTTGTCCCGGGCGTCGGGCAAGTGGGTTCACTCATGCCTGCCTCCAATTCAAGACCACCTTTGGGACTTGAAAATTTGGTGTGGTCTCAGTGTTGGTCTCCAATTAGAGGGCTAGCATTGTGTTAAATAGTTGAAGATTGTTATTTGGGTTTTTGGAAAAGTGGTCTCGAATTAGAGGTGTCTCGGAATAGAGGGGTCTCGAATTGGAGGGTGCACTGTAGTGAAATTGTCAGCAATAGCCATGATTACACGGCTGTTTGCGATCAGATAAGTAACATCAATGATCTCCAGTCGAGTGTCTACAGTACATGATAAGTTGACTCCAATAAATAATCAGGAAGTCATGTGATTATTGATGATCCAAGTTGGCCAAAGGACCAAACACTATTAAAAATGCACTTTATTTAAGTATTGTTTACAGTATTTATTAGAATTGTTTTAAATATTCAACTAATTAAATTTTTACTATAATTCATGTCTACCATTTCTATTGTCTGTATTGATCATTGAAAATGTTCATAAGTTTTCTTTGTACTGTATGTATCATTCGTTATTTGTTATTAATTTGTCTTGTAACTTATGGTCAGCAAGATGGCAAAGGGTCAAATTGACAATGACAATACTGTAAAGTATTTTAATTGTGCAGATGATACCTCAGAAACTAGCTCAAATTTGCTAGGAAAATCGCTAGGAAAATTGGTGCACAAAATCTTGACTACTGCATCCTCATCCTGTTGGTTATATATTATATAGAACACTGCACTGTAGTTAAGATCCTAATTTTCGAGAAAATCTGTGCAGCAATCAGCTCTTATTTTCCGGTACGTCTAGAGTCTAACTACTGATGATAATATAAGTAGAGAGTCTACGCCTACAGTACAGTAGGACTAGCTTGGACTCTACTGGGCCTAACCCCCACCCCACCCCACCCTTCTAGCATATAAGCCTACGCCATATATTATAAGCATATGTACGAGAGCCACTTCAACGTTCTAGCCTACCTAGGCCGGAGAGCTTAGGCTAGGCCCTACGGCACGGTTGGCCTAACCTCCTTCCTACTACGGTAAATATTATTATTAGTGGTATGTACTACCCCAGTTGGCCTAGAGTTGTATACATACAATACAATACTATTACCCGTTTAAAATGTCAGACATTCTCACCTTATTGATGACTTTTTTGTCATAAACTGGGAATCATCTGATGACGAAACTTCGCACATGTTTGATGACAGATTGTTTTCTCACTCGGGACAGCGCCACCAACGAGTGGCCGACTAACGTACATATTCACACACACAGACACGGCTAGCCAGTATGTACTTCTTAAAATCATTCGTAAGTTTGCATGGCCTAGGCTAGGCCTAAGTGTAAACCTCATAACGTCATATAATCTTGCTTTTGAATTTTACAAGCTACTTGGTCTCCTTTCCAAGCCTAGTAGCCTCAGGCTCTAGGCCCAGCCTAGCCTAGCCTAGGCCCCTGCCATGCCTGGGCCTAGGACTCTAGCTAGGAGGAGGCCTAGGCTCGTCCTAGCTAGGCATAGAGAGGCCTTTTATACGTTGTTTGGTACAAAGTTTTTTCAAAAAGGACTAAAAAAAAAGAAAATAAAAATAAAATTTTCCTTTCTTAGGCCGAGGCGAAATAGTTTTGACAAAGAATCAAGGCAGAGGAGAAATAAAAATTAATTTTTAATATTTATATGCTGAAAATCTGTCAGTTTTCTGAATGAAGATTAATAATAAGCAATCTAAAGTCTTCATGTGTTGGACCTACTATGGACGATTGGGCCCAATATTTGATTTTACCTACAGACTATAGGGTCCATTCAGGACGATTGGGCCTACTCTCAAATTGGGACCACCTTTTGTATGGCATTGCTGTATGTCAAAGTGCATTTTCAAACAAACTTCATGTCTATTTTCTTACAGAATTTGTCACCATTACCTCATAAAGACACAAACTCTAACTTTATCAACTTTGTTCACTGTATCCAAATTTTCAGTATTTAGACCCTAATCAATATTTCAATTAATTTTTTTGAACGGAAGTGAAATGCTGTAAACAACTGATGATAAATTCACACAAAAAGGAGAAGTTATGTTCATGAAATCTGAAGTTTTACTAAAAACCCACTCGGACAAATGTATTATGAACACTGGAGAAGATTGAATTGAATGTTTTATATTTACATTAAAGATAACGCTTCATCCAAACAAAAGCAGCTTTAAAAATTTTCAATATATTTTTTCATCAAAGATTTACCAGGTGATCGTTCTTTAGTCAGCTTTCATACAGCTAATCAGACGACTGTGATGTAATAAATGTTGTAGAGCACATAGAGGGCTTTGAAATTATGCAAAGACCAACATATATTGTTTTTCGTATCCTAAAAAACCAGATTACATGACGAGCATCGTCTTTGTTCCACCGATCAAAAAGAGAAAGTTCAGCTCAATGTCAACATTTGTTATTGCTATATTTAGTATTTATTTTTGGAAACAATAATTAAAAGGAGAATGTACATAAACAGGCATTTTTTGAAAAGCCACCTGAGGATACATACCGTGGAATGACTTTGTGAACATTGTGGAACAATTTAATCACAGTAACAGTGCAAACATTGTAGAGAACAATTAAATAGCATTTTCAGTTTTAAACGACATTTGAAAATGGATGCATTAGAGATGCAAAGACAATATGAATGTGAGTATTGTGGAGATAAGTTTAATGTTAGTTGCAACTTAAAAACACATTTGAGGATACATGGTACTGGAGACATGGCATTCATTGTTCCATATGAATGTGTACAATGTGGAAAAATGTTTGTAAGCAGTAGTGATTTGGAAGTGCATATGAGGGTGCATTTAGGAGCCAGGCCGTACCAATGTGAACATTGTGGAAAGAGATTCAAACATCGTTATCTGTTGAAAACACATTTGAGGACACACACAGGAGAAACACCATATAAATGTGAACAATGTGGACAGAAATTTAAATACAACAAAAGTCTCAAGAAACATATCAAAATACATACTCTAGAAGAGTCATCGTATCTGTGTGAACATTGCGGGCAAAAATTTACCGAGAAAAGCCATTTGAATACACATTTGAAAATACACAAAGAAAAAACACTGTGTCGATGTGAACATTGTGGAAAACAATTTAATCAGAGTAGCGATTTGAAGGTACATTTGAGAGGACACACCCAAGAACGAGCATATCAGTGTGAACAGTGTGGGAAATACTTTAATCAGAGTAGTTATTTGAAGGTTCATCTGAGGATACACACCCACGAGCGACCATATCAGTGCGAACATTGTGGAAAACAATTCTCTCAGAGTGGCAGTTTAAACATGCATTTGAGAAAACACACACAAGACAAACCGTATCGGTGTGACCACTGCGGAAAACAATTTAATCGGAACGGCAGTTTGAAGGTACATTTGAGAAAACACACGCAAGAACGACCGTATCAGTGCGAACAGTGTGGAAAACGATTTTCTCATAACGCCACTTTTACAGTACATAGGCGAATACACACTCAAGAGACGCCTTACGAGTGTGACCATTGTGGGAAGAAATTTAGAGAAAATGGACTTTTGAAGAAACATTTGAGAACACATACAGGAGAGAGACCATATGGATGTAAATTTTGTGGGAAAAAGTTTTCAACTAGTACCAGCTCTATAAGACATATGAGGATACATACTGGCGAAAAACCATATGGATGTGAACGTTGTGGAAAAATGTTTGTTAGCAGTGGTACATTGAAAATCCATCTGACGGTACATTCAGAAGCGACGCCGTACCAATGTGAACATTGTGAAAAAGAATACAAACGACTTGATCATTTGAAAAGGCACATTAAGGGACACCATATTGATGTGAACAATGTGGCAATAAAGTCAAGCAAAACTTCAATTTAAAACATACATTTTATATTGTTCAACAAAGTTGTGGAATGATCTTCCACATGACAACTAATTTCATGGACAAGACTATTTTATCTTTTAAAAACTCAATTATTTGTATTGTTACATTTAGGAATGTTTTGTTACTTGCATTGCTTTTCAGTATTTGTTTAATATGCAACTGTACCACTTTGAAAAAGAGTATAGAAGTACTGAAAGTGCATGCAGTAAAAAGACAGAATAAATAAATACAAATTTGATAATTTTTAAAATCATGTTCATCTTATCTGTGAATCGTCCGTATTTTACTACTGCAATGAAGAAGTATGAATGAATGCAATTTTAAATGCGGGAAAACAAGATTTTGATGAATCACCTTTTATATGGCCCGTTAATAATCAAACCGGTGGTTGTAGAGTAATGCGATTGATGTATACTGTATTCATATCAAACTGCTGCTTGCCTTGCTGGTTGCTTAGTGATTACTGTGCATCTGCATTAGCATGCTCGTATTAGAAAGATTTGCCTTATGTGTTTCAGTTCACCTTGGTTTCTCATAACCATTATGCTTTTCTAGGCCTTGCCTAGGCTTCATTCATGTAACCAGTGTCGTAGAGAGAGAGAGATTTGATAGGTTCGTTGTGTGCATTCAGCTTGACCTACTGTTGCACTCCAGCATCGATATAGTGATCAGTAGGGAATAGGAAAATTCAGTGAAAATTAAACTTATGACGTCGCATATGAAATAGGGATGAGTGAATGTATTAATTATGCAATCTTAAATTTATGGGTTTGCCATTTGTGGAGTATATATATATATTTGTGGAAACTATTTAAAATAAATCTATTTTGGCACCAGTGGCATTCCATACTATACTTTTTCTGGGATTAGTTCCCAACCAAATTCAACAACATAACAAGTTTCTCGACATAAACAGACACTGGTAGCACTCACCGAGTTATCTAAGACTAGGAAAAATCTATAAATTAGAGACTTGTGGCAAGTCTAGGGCCCCAAGTTGTGGAAGACAAATTCCTGGCGAATCTTTCTGGTACAGGCTTGCGACACATGTACTTTGTGAAATTGCAAACGTTATTGCCACCGAGAATGTGTGTCTTATTGTCTGCATAAGAATCGTATAATTTAGCTTAGCCTAAAAGCCCTAGTTTTGTTGGAATCCTGGAGAAATCCAGGTAAAATTCAAATTCTGGGAGAAAAATGTGTAGTTTTCTTGAGACTCCACGGCAGTCCTGGAGATTTGGGATCCCTGGGATAAGAGGCATTTGGTACTGCCACATTATGTCCGCTGTGGTCTCCAGTGAAATAATGTACTTGGGTACTTTAACATAGTGCCAACCAAACTACTGTATATTATGGAAAACAGATTCAAATACAAATGGAAACTTATAATCAATTTAATGCCAAATGTTGACATTTTTAATCAAAATCTTTAGATTTGCATAATTTTGTACAAAACCACTCCTAAAAATTACAATCTTCACTGAGTATACAAACACAGAAACAATAATAATAATCTAAAAAATAAATACCAAAATTTAATCAAATAACTTTTTTTTTTCGAAATGAAAACTACTGTAATACAATAAACTAACTTGAATTTTTCTTTCTATGCTAGCATGCAGCATTTGAGACAGGTCATGAGTTGTGAGGTCAAATTGATGTCAATAACTAAGAGACAGGTCATGAGTTAAAAGGTCGAAGTGATGTCACCAACTAATGTAAATTGGCAAATTTGATCCATACATACATAAAAAGGAATTCAATTGATAGTAAGTGAATTTATGACAGTCTTCTTAAGTTTGAATAGTTCCTGCACTTAAGTTGTATTCCTACTACACTCGCACAAAATTGCAGCTTTTAATTGGCTAAATCATCAATAGGTTACCATAGATAGACAATGTGTCAAAATTGCAGCCTCAGATTGGTTGATTTGCCAGTTCATCCATAGATCACCATAGAAACACTCACAATTGCAGTTTTGTATTTGATCATATATCAGGCACCAATACATCACCTTAGCAACACTCACTCTCCTATGTATAGCAGCTTCTGTTTGGATATTTTCATCTAAATATCATACCATAGCAACACTAATTTTATTGCACTGCAACTGTAGATTGCTAATGCATCAATGTTATTTCTGTAATATTTCTACATGCTTTTACTTATAAAAGATAAGTAAATTTGGTATAATTGTCAATTTCAACTAAAATATTCAAACTACATGTGCATAAAAATAACCATTTGATACCTGGTAGAACTACTGACCTAGTATCATGGAATACACTGAGGTCTTTGTGATAATACTTGTATTGGAATCTAGTGTACAACTGAGAACTAACTATTTATATAAGTCATCAAAACTATAATCCTGTGCACTATCAAGTTTTATGTATTTGTGTCTATGAGATTATATGTCATATCACACCCTTCACAGATATTTGCCACATAAAACTTGAGCTTTAAACCTGTATTTTACAACATTTTCTGTCCACCTTGGGATCCACAAATAAAACATGAATTCTCTCTCTCTCCCATGTACAGAACGACAAACACGAGTAAAAACGTGTCGAAAATTGTTTGTTACATAGTAACACGAACACCATGTAATTAACACTTCATATGAAAATTTACTTAAAAAGAATTATTTCTAGGCTCACTGGATGTGATAATGGACTATTGTATTGTGCATGCAATAGCCATGTAAGCAGCATATGGTAGATAGTACTGGAATCGTACCTAACACTATGTCACTGTAGGCTCGCGGACAACCAGGTTCTTGTATGATTCATGAGTTATAATCTACCCAGTAGATATAGTGTATGTGATGCAGACATGGGCAGTGATTAGTAAGACAAAGGAATTGTACCAAAATTATGATTTTCAGTAATAATAGGGGGTGGGGGCAGTGGAGAGGAACCAGACTGCCACTGGCAATCAGATGGATTAGTTGGCCAACGGAGTGTGTGCCCCTCTCACGTAATCTGTCATTGGATAAGCATACACATTTTGGCCCTAAACGCTGCCCATGTCTGCACAGCCATTTGGATAACAGTACACAATAGGTATTCTATACATACAACTCTTTAATAGACTTTAATCATGACTGCTTCATTTCATGTAGACTCACAATACCCAATCTACTTTGATAGACTTGAGTTCTGTTTGGAAAACTCAATTCTTTTCTAGAAATATATTTTTATACCTGATTTGTTACTGATGTTTTGCAAGCATTCAATGTGGAATAATAAATGTAACCAAAGTTTCTGGAATTGTCATCGCAGTAGAAAAACAGAAACAATACAGTATGCAGCTGATGTACAAAGACGCACAACTCTTGATCTAAAGAGAGCTTAGCTACGCAGAAGATAACTTTTTATTAATATCGTCATTATTGCGTATTACTTGTTGCTGTCTTTTTATTGTTACCATTGTCTTTTTAAAGCTTGTTTTGCACACACTGAATTAAGAATCACCCAGTGACTCTGTTATACAAAAATTATCATGCAGCAAATTTTTAGCAGCCAATTTTAAGTATCGGCGCCTGCAAGGAGTCTAGAAACACAAATTCTAATTTAACCTTTGAACTCAATACGTAACATAACCACATGTTTTTGTATCTGTTTTTGACTTAAGATTTCAGTAGTAAATTTATTTAACAATGTATTGGACATTAAAAAAAATCTTAAATTCTTATATTAATATTTTAAACACATAGACAAAAAAAAAAAGAATGCAATTGTACTCTACCATTCACATAAATAATTATAAACCTTCATATGGTGAAAATTGTTATCCAACAATAATTTTATAACCAATCAAATTCAAGATATCTATTCAAAAATTCTATCTAATCACAATTATCATCTTGTTATAGAACCACTAACCAGTCACAAGACACTTTCTGTACAAAGACCTGAACCTATACAATATATTGTACTCACAGCAACAATTATCTTGCTGTACAAACAATAATCAGTCACAAGAGACTTTCTGTACAAAGACCCAACCTTATAATTTACTGTATCTACAGCAATTATCGATTTCTTGAAGGCTTGCATGTTGAGTATGAATAATAAAAATAATTTAACTTTTGGTACAATATGTGCAAGAATATGTTTAAAAAAAAACACTGGCTGATTGTCTTGAAGTTTCGGTGAGACTGACTGGACGATCTTCTGACGACGGTCAGAGCAATCTTACCGAAACGTTGAGTTGAACAGCCAGTGGTTTTTATCTAAAAAACTATATTCTTATTCATGATGCAAGTTTAATTATTATTTTAATTATTGTTTTTCTGTACAGACACCAACCAGGCACAAGACACTTTCTATACAATAAAAAACCCACTCCTACACCAACTGGAATATCCTCATCAACAATGATAAAGTTATACTTTTTAATTTTCCTCCCAACACCCTCAACTATTTTATATGTGCATTTTACAAACACCTTTACAGTACTGTATAGAAGAAAAAAAAGAGTAAAAATCATATCTTTGCATTAAAACACTTTCCACAACTAAATAAAAGTATATCAATATTTAAGGAGAAACAAATTAAGTTTTATTTTTCTATTAAGAAATTAAAATTATTCCTCTTTAAACAAGAGGAACTCTTTACAAACTAATTACCCAGTAATATAACCTATGGATCTAAAAACCTCATTTTCCATTAGCAGATGAAGAAAATATCCGATTTGTGGCCTGAACACTGTCAACAGGCCTCAGTGAGGTGAATAGTTTAAGATGTCTGGCACTTCCAACAGCCCTCCGGAATGTGAATACATGCCTCTGTCATCTAGATTAAAACGCAGTTTTTTTTGCCCTAATGATATCCTGAGTGATATGGCGCATGTTAGAGGAAAATGCAGAAACATGCGCGTGAAACTTGCACACACAACACGCACACACAACACGCACACATGCGAGTGACAAATATTACAAAATACCAACATGTGTAAAGTTTGCCAGATTTGTCTAAAGTGATTAAAAAAACAGATACTATAAATTCTCTAAAATTAACTTGCAAAACAAAAAGCACGCATCCAACCTCACACGCTCCAAGAAGTCTCGTACGCTTCCAGTCTCACACGCTTCCATCCTCGCACGCTCCAAGTCTCGCACGCTTCAAGTCTCACACGCTTCAAAATCCACATACTTGCACCCTTACATGTTTCTACATCGTTATCACACATTTCACCCTTACACACCCCTACTCATATACCTTCACATATACAGGTATCAACAATTTCAAGATTCTTTGACCCCTAAGAAGCAATAAATAATTCAAAAGTTAAATACAACAAATCTGGTGTGACAGAAATGTTTTTTAATGATATGCTTATTAGGTTTTTTCTTCCTTCTTTTTTCTTCTTTTTGGAGATGAGTTTTTCCCATAAGCTTGCTTCATAGAATCTTCTAGATCAGTTATCATGTTGTGTAACTCATCCTATATAAGATTTTTTTAAAACAGACACATTATTAAATGCAAAATGTGGTGAAATCGGTATGGGCAAACTTAGTTTGGTGTTACACAAATACAACATGGTTTCATAGTGAATTCTACGTCCCTTACACAAGAAAATATGCAACAAATATCTGTGATTTGCCCATTAATGGGCATCATGACATCATATTACACCCATGCTATTTTGGTGGGTGGAATAAGCTATCCATGTTTCAAAAATTTGTTCTGGCCGGGGATGTTTTTTTCAAGAATTTTTGACAAATACAACCTGGGATAACATGATTGCAGAGCAAGCATCTTAACGCATTTGAGGGGATGCCATTGTAGGTAGCTGGTACAAGTAGGGTCTATTTCTCGATATATGTGTTTGTGTATAGGATTATATATTACTTTTCTTTTACGTACCTCACTGTACCTATACATGAGTTTTAATGTTCGGCAGACTTTGGTTTTCTGTGCAGCTTCTAGGCCGTGGTGTAGACAGAAGACACGCCCCTCCTTCTCTTGAACAACCTAAAAACACAAATTAATAAGCCTCATAACGTTAATTTGAAAGCTGTATTAGTTGTGAGAAAGCACTGTATGATGCCAGTCCCCCAAGGATCCCCGAAATTGTCACTGCCCATGTACTTACCATTGACAGGAAGCAGGAACATTTGCATATCCAACATACATGCTCTTCGCCTGTCTCCGATATCGGTTTGCTTCGTTTATCTCGTATCCTAGCTGGGCTTGCCGGATCAACAAATCGTATACTGGTCTTCATGCCACGGTCGGCCAGTTTCTGCCGCAAAATAAGTTCTCGATCCCTAAATAAAAGTAAACCCAGCTAACCTTCAAAATTACATTTATTTTGTTGATTTATAAATGCACTATTACCCCAATAGCAACAATATCAATGTCTAGGGCTTGACTACAGGCAAGATTGCTAAAAGAACTTTCTTTGGTTTTAACATTTTTTTCTTTATTTATGTAAATTACCCCATCAATACTCCTTATAAGAGTACAGCAAGGAGTAAATTTTATCTGGGCCCTTAGTGCCCTGTGGAAAGCCAAAGTGTAGCACCAGTACAAACATACAATGAATTCATTGTCCAATTATCCCACCGAACTCCCAAATGCGGGTTATTCTATTAGAGTTGAGCAACCAATCAAACTCAAATTTAAATGTGATTCTTGCCTGAGACTGTACTTACCTGATGTCTTTTAGAAAAGCCAGCACCTGATCCATCAAGTATGTGTTCCCATGAAGAGCAGGTTTACCTGCTAAGAGCGTGAGAAGATGCTCAAATGAGAACTGGCATGTTTCTTTCAGGTCCTGAAAAATCTGGGGGAAAACAATTTCATACTGTTAGTTAAAAATAATGAAGAAAGAAATGTTAAATTGCAATATGTAATGTATTGAGATTGTGGTTAACAGATGGTTTTATTGAGGACTGTAGGTAATAAATGATGTTATATTGAGGGAATAAATTGAGGATTATGGGTAATACATGGTATATTGAGGATTGTGATTAGTGGTATATTATATTAAATGGTATATAAAGTGGTGTAATGGAATTTTTAAAATTTTTGTTACATTTTTCCAGCAAAAAAAAAAAAGAAGTTATGCCAGTCAATGTTCCTTACTTTGAATGCAGCTTGCCCTTGGCCTAGCCAGCTAGCTGTAGCAAAGTTCACTACTTCTGCTACATTGTAGCCGCATGATACGGTAGCGATAGTCATTCCAGGCCATGTGACCACAAACTGTCCTGCTTCCTGGACCAGTCGGTACACCGGAATGCCAGCCTTCAGGAATGCACTCATCGGTACCTGTGATAACAAATTTTAAAACAATTCTAATATCTTAAAATTTTACATTATAACACTTCATGGTTGTCATAATTACTATTATAATTTTCAATATACTGTACAATTATAGAATCCAGCTAACTCAATCCATAATTGATCTACTTAATGTAGAGATGGGAAATATATTTTGTACTTACCATACATTTGAAGTTTGCATTGTTCAAAGGGTGAAGGATATTAGCACTTTGCTGTGGAAACTCCTGCTTCAAGACAGCATTAGCCTGCTCAAAGTGACTAGCTGGTACACAGTACCTATAAGAAACACAAAAAGAAAGACAATGAGAAGTATTAATCACAGGACCAAAATCAAGCTACCAATTGGCTACATATGAATACCCATCAAAAGCATATTTGTCAAGGGAATGAGTAAGTAAATAAATAAATGAATAAATCAATAAAATAATATGAAAATGTTTCGGGAAATGAGTATGTAAGTGTGTCGGAGAATAAATAACTGAATATATTTAACGTATGAACAAACTACTGAATGAACCAACATTTAAATAAACTGATGAATCCAATAACTGAAAGAATAAACAAACAAATTAATAAATGAAAGAAAGAAGGGACAAAAGAATGAATGATGAATCAAAGAATGAATAAATAAACCAACAAATGAATGCATAAACAAACATAAATTAATGAATAAATACTGTACTTATTCAAATAAATGCCCTGCTTTGAATAAACTCCCACAATTATACACCCCGGGCATATATTTTATTACTGAAATAGCACCCCCTTCCAAATAACTACAAACAAAATTATTAATGGAAGCAAAATCATTCTCAACACATTCTATTAATATTCTACTGCAGTTGAATTACATCTTTTTAGACTGGTTCGGATCAATCTTTATGATCACCAAATAACACAATTTGATGGAAATTTTGTGTTGGGATTGCACACAGTGAAATTAAGGAGCATTTATATTTATATGAGTATATACATATCCATTTTGCACCAAAAATAATAAATGCCTCCCTCGAATAAATTCCGCCTCAAAACCCATCTCAACAAATATATGCCCCGGGGCATTTATTTGAATAGATACAGTAAATGAATTATTGAAGGGATGAATAAATTAATGAATGATTGCATATAACAACAAATAAAATACTTACCAAATCTTAGGTGCTCCAGTGTGGAGATAATCAATAGTAGCCAGTGCATGCTGGCTGCAATGCCAGGTCTCTGTGCTGAATAACATGTTAATTTTCATTACTGGAATGTTGATGGGATGTTTGTTACCAAGGCAGTGAAGTAGGTTTAGTTGATTTGTACTGATGTTTGTCAGATTCCAACTATGTCTGAAGAAAAAGAAAAAAGATAATGTGCAAATCCATCATATAACAAATTGAATAATGAAATATGATAAGCAAAGTCATTTCCAATTCTAGACAGATTACCTCCCACAAAGGAGGTTATGTATTCACCACTGTCTGTCTTTCAGCAAGATTATGCAAAACTAATGAATGGATCATCATAAAATTTAGTGGAATGGTACATGATAATCAAAGAAAAACACCATTCAATTATCGAAAAGAAAGGTCAAAGTACAAGGTCATGGAAATTCATTTTTTTAACCCTTGACAAGGGTCGATAATGGAATCGCCCCTCGTATTCAGGCATAGGCTGGAGGTATGCTGTGCAGCAACTCAAGAAAATAATGTGCTTGAAGACAAGGGGCGATTCAAATTTTTTTTTTAGGGTTTCTGCATCACTCCAGAAAATAATGTACCTAAATACAACAGGCAATTCCATTATTTCCTTGAGGGTATGCTGCAGTTTCACCCATCATAAATGGTATTCAGGCACAGGACAAAGGTATGCACTCTGTAGAGTGGCTGCTCTAGCTCATACTTGGGACTGCAATTAATTTGCACAGGAAGTTTGTTTACCCTATCTTTGACCTCCTCTGCATTGTTGATATTGTTTTGTTTTACTATCTCATCTTTACCTTTTGAAATTTTTAAGTTCATGTTCTGTTGTTTTATTTTGAACAAAACAAAATACATTATTATTTTTCAAATTTTATTCCACTCAAGACCTGGAAATTATGTCATAGCAGTAATCCATGTTTTTATCACATTTCGTAGAGTAAAAAACATACTACTTTGTGATCCATTCTTCCCCCAAATGAGCCGTTGCTAGACCAACCCTTTCTTGCAAAAACAGGCTCTTTCTCAAAAAATGAAATAAAAGAGTCTGTGATCTACAGGTCAAAAGCTAATAATTGATATAAACATTGTTAAAATCGGATAACAAATGGTGAAGATATAATAATTTATATTTTCGGTCAATACATGGAAATTTTAGCTGATTTGAAGACTTTGTTTTTGAAGACAAGCGTCTGGTTTAGCCACAGTTGGTCACAAATGAAAATTGTCTTGAGATCAACTTCAACAAGAGTAAATATGTTGTTAACCTCTCCCACTAGTGCTATGTTTTGTCCTCTCGTGAAAATGATTTAAAAAAAAAAAAATCTTTTAAGTGATCCTTTTAAGTGATCAAACTAATTAACTGATTTAATTTTTCATAGTTTCTTTACCATACAAAATATATATCTTATCAAAATATCAAAATGACAAACAGTTATATTGTAGCTAATTCAAACAAGTGAATTATAAAATGAGGAAAAATGAATAATCAACAGCGTATTAGTAATAAATGAAGTTGGTATTGGGTTAACTATCCATTAGGTTATGTCAAATAAATAAATAAGGCTTTTGAGAAAAACAATATAGAGTCCACAGTTGGATGCAAATCAATTGAGATTGGGAGACAGTATTTTTCTAAAATATTACTTATAATAATTTTATTTAATAATAAGCCTTTCAGCTGCTGTAAGGTATTTTGTGATGGGCCAAGTTCATAATCTGCCTATCATGTACTTGCTTATGACCTTAGGTAACACCAGAGTCTCTGAAGCCCTCAAAGCGTGGACTAACTAACAGAAACTTTTTTCTCTCCCAAGCATCTCTTTGTGTCTGAGCAACCCAGTAAACCGGTGCCAAATACTCTGGTCTGTCCAAAATAGGTGCTGTATAGACCAGGGTAACCCCTTCTTGTCTCGAAAGATGTACTGGGTTCTTTTGTGTATCATGGGCCTACGGTAAATAGACCTTATCCAAGAAGATTTTTTCCACCACCGAAACCAAGCATGCCATTTAAACCAACACTGATATTATGGCTGAAGGTTGCGTCGCCCCCCCTGCCTTAATCACTTGGCCGTACGACCCGTTCGAATGACAATGACCTCGTCCTTTGGATAGAATGTTGAGCAGTTGGTTGAGTGTACATAATAACATATATGCAAGAAAAATAACTCAGTAGGTTTGTATTGCGGTGTACTGGCCAAGTAGGCAGCTGGATTTTTGGAACATCTGATATTCTGGCTCCACAGGCCACACGTCACCTCATTTCATTTGGTTTACCTGACACTTTTAACAAAGCCAATTTAAAGTTATAATATTTTACGTACAATTTTGGACGATCTAGAAGAGATTTATAACATATTATTGAAAGCATAGAATTTCAGGATACTTTTTCTTTTATTTTATTTTTTTTTTGTGTGTCTGTTTTATGGTACTATTAGTTGGGAAAGCCACTCGACAGTGTGCAATTCTTTTAAATGTTTACTTTTTGGTCACACGCAGGGACTATTGTACTTTTGTCAATTTGCTTCTCCTCCCACCCTACCCTGGAAATTGAATAAAATAAAAAATTTGAAGGGTTTTTTTTAGGATTACATTAAACGTTTAACGACTAGGCTATTGAGCTTTTATAGGAAATTCAAATCCAATAGGTAGCAAAATTTTTCAACCTTATGCGAAGACCAGAAAAGCAGCCACATGGAACAGAAATCAAAATGATACAATCAAATCTAAATCATTTACACACAAAGACAGGACATCTTTCAATAACTAAAAGTATATAAATCACCTTGATTTAAAAAAAAAAAGCAGTAAGGCAGGAATTTAATATGGAATGGATGCAGTACATGACAACAGGCCGATTAATATTAGCAAAAAATATTTGTAAAGCTTTAGAAAGAAATTGTCCATCCATCCATTAATTCATTCATCTAATTGCAAGCATTTATCCTTTTTTTTAATACTATAGTGAATAAAATTTAAAAATATTCTGATGTGAGGTTATTTTTCATCTGCAAGCAGTGCATGCATTTACGTGTAAACAACTTACTTTGCATAAGATTTGCTTCTGGGGAAACCACTAAAATGTGGAAAAGATATAAACAAAGCTAATACTTGGATTGGCAAAGCAGTGTGTGTTTCATGTTTTCTGATACCCAATAAAATGTTGCTTACGCCCTCTATATTGTTTTGTGTTTATAACATACAACATTCATTGTATATATCGATAAACGTCAGTTTGATATTATTTAATCTAATATAAATAGGTTATAGGTAGGTTGTGTAACTATTATTCTCTAATTATTTTACATAAATACATTCAGTTAAATAAGGTTAATTAGAAAAATGTAGCCATATTATGAAAGTAAGGTAGTTCCGCCTCTCTTGTTTAATTGAATTATAAATTAAGCACATAGTAATTAAATCTATATAAGAATTGATAGATAATATTCTCTTCATGGTAGAAACACATCTATGCAGTTTACACCAAAACTACCCCTCCTATCTAATTGTATTACAAAATCAGTATACTACAGAGATTAAATAATTTACTTCTATATAAAACAAGAATTATCTATGGTGATAGCAATGGTATTGACTTCTTACTAATGTTTATGGTGACTTTGGAAGTAATTTCTAACTATATATCAAACATGTAAAGGGGAGCATTATGGTGACCTAGGCTGGTTTGAAGGCAGCCTCAAAAAGTGTTAACAGGGGCTAAGAAATCATATGAAATGACTGGATGCAATCCAACAATCATCAGTTAGATTAGGAACCAATAATAAGGAATGTCTGCTTCTAATATACTGAATAATCATGAGAACAATACTCATAGCATACATATTCATGTGGATTATCACACTGATTATTCATGAGAATATTACTCATAGCATACATTCATCTGGAATACCACACTGAATATTCATGAGAATATTACTCATAGCATACATATTCATGTGGAATATCACTATTAATAATATTCATTAGCAATTATGAATAATGTATATTTATGTTGCAATCATGTGCAAGCAAGCTACACATGACAGATTACTAAAACTACAATGACCACACACACACTCACAAAAACCATAAAACAGAAAATATTGGTAATAAAACATTATACAAGATTACAAAAAGCAGACATACATACACACATTATTGCACCACAGAAACAAAGAGGAAAACTACTGTTTTCAAATACAAATTCTAATTTTAGAATCATTTTCCAAAAATGTGAGGTGGTACGAACCTGCCTGACATGGTTGTTGCCAGAACAGCTTTCTTCACAGATATATGCTGACTGCCTTCATGTATCGCTCGCCAATATTCTTTCTGTTTCAATGAAGAAAAAAATACATACATATATATTTTATCTTAGATAATAGGAAAAGAAATGCAGAGTTTAATCATAAACGCTGTCAATTATCATTTTAATAAACACAGTTTCTATGATGTAGTAATAGAATTAAATTGTCAAATGCAAAAACAAGCATAAAGTAATTTAATTAATATAATAATATGTTAGACTTAAATAGTGCTTAACGCCAACAAGGCCTCTAAGTGCTTCACATTATTACCCCCGATCATTGGATTAAACATCTATGGAACACAAACTCAAACTCCCGGGGGAGTGTTCCATAATGTTGCATTAGCTACATCAGCGCATTTTGGCATTTAACCCTACCAGGTACCAATTTATACTCCTAGGTGGAGAGAAGCAATGCAGACAAAGTGCCTTGCTGACACAAACGAAATGCACAGCAAGGGATTTAAACCCCAACCTCGAGTTTGGGAAATCAAACCGTTCCCACTGCGCCAAAAGCACTTCCACAAAATATAGTCCTACATTTCAACAAAGAAGCTCACTCTTGTTTGTATATTCTGGCCTTCAGCCTGGCCTTCAGTTGTAAGTACACCCAAAATTGGACCCCAAAAAAATGTGTGCAAGGTGCCTTTAAGCTGTTATCATAATCTACACTATGTAATCATATACAACATATACTGGGTTTAGTATACCTCTACTTCAGTAGGTGTAGGCTCCCGTTTGAAGTACATTTGCTGTGTGTTATGTGCAGACTTGCAGAATTGCAGTAAACTTATGCACCTCCCTTTAATGCAGTTTTCCTCTTCCACTGAATTGAAAATACCTACAAAAAATCATTAATGAAAAAAATATAAGCAAAGTACATTTATCCTTTCTTGCAAGCTTACGTGCTTGTCCTGGAACTGAAGTCTATCCATCCACTTGTTGAAAGTTTTTTTTTTTGTTTTTTTTAGGGGAGTATGCAAAAAAAATGTATGAATAATATTCATGAGTATTGAAGGAATATTTTCTTGTTCAACTTAATATTCAATGCTTACAAATCACATAAATATACTGAGTAAACAATTTAAAGATTTAATGTTATATTTTCAGTTTATTAGCCATTCATAATACAATACTGTATATATTTACGGTTTTTGATTGTTTCCGGGCAACAATAAACATTTTTCGAATTCCAAGAATTTTTCATAATATTTGAAACAATGATATAAAAATACTGAACTTTAATACTTACCTAATTTATGGGACTTGGTTCGCTCCTTTTCTAAAGCATGATCAAGCCTCTGTTTTTCATCCTATGACGAAAAAAACAATCATAAATATTATTTAATAAACATTATAATATAAGAAGCTTAACTCTAAAGAAACGTTAGTGAATAGCAAAATTAGCATCTTAAGTTCTGTTGATACTATCATATTTTAAGTGACAAATAAATGTAACACCTATAGGGTACCACAGTCGTGTCGTCACAACAGCAGGTTGCGCCCTCTGTTGCCAACCAGACGTTGGTTACCGTTCATTACGCCTGAATGCCTGCATTGGCTTTCTGGAATAGGCATCTTAAAATCTGATATTTTACCATCAAAAATGTACTAAAAACACAAAAGTTCGCATTATATTAGTTTTGAAACACGCATTTAATCTTCAATTAAAATCTACAAAGAAAAACTAAGATACAACATCTTAATAATTACATTAGAAATTGGGATCGATGGTTTGTCAGTGGAGAAAATGGCGTTTGGTTGAACACATTTTGCAACGATAGCAACGGAGTAGTATCACATGGTATCGTGACATAACACTGTAGTACTCTATATGCCCATATGTGTAATATGACATAATTATGCCCATATATAAGCACACCACACATAATTTGTCATATACAAATTGATAGTGTGGACAGATCTTTATAAATAAAAAATATTGAAATAATGTGACCCTTCAAGTCCTCTATTGTCCATGTTTAGTGTGAAATCTAGGTAAGATTTTAGTGAGGCATTTTAAGCATGGAATTACCATAGAGGAAATATAATAATATATTTCCTCCATGTAATTACAGGAACTTTTGTGGAGTGTCATACAATCTTGTATATTGTCATTTTGTAGGACTTTATCAACAATATCCAATTGGATTGGAATTATTTGGTGTAAACACCACAGATAACCCTAAAAAAAAAGCCAGAGAATTATTTCCAGTGGGGTCAATCTGGCGGTGAGTGGGCAGAAAAGCAGAAGACAATGTCCTACACTGCGTTCTTTACAGCCTGGTTTCACTTTAAAATCACTACACGGTATCGTCGACTCATTTGGTGACACTGATTGGACAGTTGAATCATGGAGTTTGCGTCAGGGACAGCTATGCAGTGCAACGATTGCAGAAAAAAACTTCAGCAACAGTGTAGAGATTGTATGGAAACTAGGCTTAACGGGTACATGGGTTTGCACATGGGAACAACGACTTGAACGTCTCTTTCAAATGCGCGCTTATATTTATACTAGTATTTCAGCCCTCCAGCTGAAACAGCAGATGAAATTCTAACAGGTACCAAAAGATCTTCATGGATCAGCATCAGCGTCTACCTCCAGTTTAGCCAAAAAAGGTGAGGATTAGAGGAACAGTCCATTAACTTACTGACATGATAATAAGACATCAAGTAATTATTATTATTATTATTATTATAAGACATCAAGTAATTAGCATATCACCTATCAAAGTTAATATGTAACAGATACCGCATTATTAGAATAATTAGCAAATTACGATAATTGATAAAGGTAATATACCATAATTAGCATATTATTAGCATAATCCACTTACTGATGTTAACATGTGATACGACACCAAGTATTCACAGTAGATCTTATACAATTTGGTAACTCTTCCTTGAATCTGTTTAAGGTAGAAAAAAAAAATGACCATGATGTATTAGAGCTCATTTCGCTGGATGTTGTTCTAGAATGAGCTATGAAATATATACCTGAAATTATCTCATGTTTTGAAACAGATCCTAGTTATGGCGTTATCTACCTCTGTGGAATGCTACATGAAAACTCCATATTTGTCATTTTTCTGGCATACCACCAGGATAACTTTTCACAACATCTGTCCGTGCAAAATATAGCGTAGCCTAATTGATTGGAATAAGCCTTTTCGCAGTTCCGACTGCGCATTCGTCAGATTGAAGACAAAAAAGTTTTTGGAGATAAACAACCACGCTAGTCTTGCAGACAAATTTTCAAAGTATCGAAATTTCTTACCTTAAATTTTGTATATATCATTTCTAGATTTTCAAACAGTAACATTTGAGTGGTAAATATATACTTTTTTTTTTCATACACATAGTAGATTTGACTGAAATATTTAATTTCATTGCAAATAAGGTTGTTTGATCTAGGCCTACAAAAGTCGAAATAATTTTGTATTGATAATCAACTACTGTAGTCATTTGTAGTACATTTTTTTGTATTCATTGATAAGCCAAGTTTATTTTTTAATTGAAAGTCAGTAAAATGGCATTCAATTAAAAACCATTTTTAAAAGCATTTTTAATATTAGTAATGGATATATTAATGATGATGATATACATTTTAAACAGTTCCTTAGTAAATAGTTATTAAAAAAAAAATTATTTTGCAATTCATTATGATTTAAATATTTTAATGCATACTGTACTTGTTTTGTTTTAGACTGATGATTTAATCATCAATTATGAAGTTGTGTGCAGTAGTAGGTTGCTGCAACAGCTCATCATATCACCTAGACAAGTGGAAACAACTTGACTGCACTAAACATGGAAATAAAAATGGAAGTGATGTTGCAATTGCCTTCCACCATTCAGGCTATTTCCGTTTCCAACTGAAAGAAAGGACCCAAATGAGGTTGAGATGGAACAAGTTAATGAACAAGAAAGACCCTAAAACTGGACGAAACTGGAAAAACAAGCCACATGACCGTGTGTGTTCAGTGCACTTTCCAAAAGGAGAACCCGTACCTTCTTATCCAGACCCTGTACTTAACCTGGGGTATGAAAACTGTGGGCAGTCTACAACAGCAAAACGTGCACCTCCAAAACAACGGCAAAACGTTGGGAAAAAGCTAAAACAAATACCAGATGATAGCAGTGTTCCAGTAACTCCTGTGTCAAAGATCCAGCATGATCATAGGTACACTTACCAATGTTAATGCAAGCCAAACTGTGACTGCGTTGGCGGCATTGATAAGCAAATAATTATAAAAAACATGGAAAGCAAAATTGCTGATTTTCATATTAGAAAGAAATGCGGCTAAGAAAAGCAACAAAAAACAACTATTAGAGTTAATAATTTGAAAGACAATGATATCAACCATTGTACAGGTTTGAGAACAAAAAAAGCCTTTGATGACTTGTTCAATTATGTTGAACCATACACTAAAAAAATGGTCTACTGGAAGAGCAAAATTAAGACCAATAGTGCTAGTCGGACCTTTAAAAGGCTCGCCGAAAAAGTCTGGACCTAAACGCAACATAAGTCCAAAGGATGAACTGCTAATGGTTTTAATGCGACTGCGTTTGGACCTTACAGTAAATTTTTTGGCAGTACTTTTTGGTGTACTACCAAGTACATGTACCACTTGGCTACGTTTCTTGTCCACTATTTTTAAACCACTAATTGTTTGGCCAAATAGACAAACAATATTTTCTTCAATGCCGCAGCAATTCAAAAAGCACTGTAAAAAATTAAGATGTATCATAGACTGTACAGAGTTTTTTATCGAAAGACCACGATCTTTGGAATTGCAGGCTGCTACATGGTCGGACTACAAAAAGCACAACACCATAAAAGTGCTTGTTGGTATAACACCAAATGGACAGATTTCATTTATATCCAAAGCTTATAGAGGGAGAGCATCGGATGTTTTTATCCTGAGAGACAGTGGGTTTCTTTCCTTAATAGAGCCACATGATGTATTAATGGCAGATAGAGGTTTTCCCATACAAGAAGATCTTATGCGCCAACATGCATCACTGCAAATTCCACCAGCTGCTCAAGGCAACCGCCAAATGACTAGACAAAAAGTTAAAAAGACAAAGATGATTGGTAACTTAAGGATCCATGTAGAGAGAGCAATAAACCGATTGAAGGACTTCCAAATCTTGAACTCTACATTACCAATTATACTCTCATCCCAGTATCTGATGACATAATAATTGTGTGTGCTGCTCTATGCAATTTGCAACCAGATCTAATGTCTTAAATGAAAGTAACTGAATTGTAATTAGGAATGTGTAAATAAAATAGAGGAAAGTTTCTCTTCAAATAAATGAAAATTATGGAGCGAATATTGTCAATTTTCTCTTTTTATTACAATTACTGCACTGGTCAAAATGTTTCCTGTTATTATTTACTGTAAATAAATACTGTATGTACATATTTAGAATTTATATTCAGTTGGCAGCATACAGTAAATAATTTTGAAATAACTAGTGGTTATGAAACTAATAAAATAATTATATTTCATAGCTAATTGCAGATTTCTTTATTGCATTGTAAATTAACTGTGGGGCAATGAACTAAAAAAAAAATTGTTCAGCTTTAGACATTGCCCTAGTCCACACCTCATGGTTGTATTCAATACGCTGCAAAAAGTATCCCCCCTTGGTATATATAAAAAAAATTGCACCAGTTTCTTTTAGTTATGCCCATTTGTGCTTGAATTTGATAATAGTATTGATGATTTGGTTTAAGTTTTTCATTTGTAGTTACATACAATGCCTCCATGTTTTCTTCCGTGGGTTGATCAAGTGCTATTGTACGTGAACACTTTATTTCCAGTAGTCCCTTTCCACAACATGCATCTGGGGAAGCCCCCATAAATATCTTTTTTGGATGTACAAACAACCCACATTCTGAGACTTCAATATTCACATGTCCTTTTCCTTTCAAAATTTTTTCATACAATGATCGTGCTATTGGTTCAGTAATCCTCCCATATTTAAGATTTGGTAGGTTTGGGTCAATGTGGGTATATCCCATAATTTTTTTAAAAATTGGGATGGAATCTTTACTTAAATGTGTATTACTATGGAGAGTCTTATTTCTAGTAACCACAGATTTCAAATTGGAAGCAGTAATACGTCCAGTTCTATATTTTGCCCATTCAACATTCTCTGATTGTCCCCGAGTTACTTTTTCAATGGCCATAATTTCTTCATGAGAGTATGTGGGCAAGTTATTGATAAAATTTTCAGGTGACTGAAAATTGGCTGCAAGTAGTTGTAGACTCTTTGGAACTGCTATGTCATGCGATGTTTCTACCTCCACTTCAATTCCTACATTAAAATCCTCCTGAGGGTTATAATTCATGGCTGTTGTGGACAAATATTTCCATATAGTTGAATTGCTGCAGCTGGGAAAAAGAGCATCAACTATCCCCTGCGCTGTAGGCATTTGTCTTGAATTCTTCATTGGGTTAAAAAGCTTTCGTGATTCTGTATTAATTGGCTGCTGATTTCCTATATTGAAAAAAAAGAAAGAAAAAAAATCATTTGTTAAAACAGGCTTATTTCGTTAAATATCATCAGCAACATCAGGTTGCCTGTTTATAATAATTTACATTTTTCAATGTACTGATGTTTAAGTTTTACATATGTACTAAAGTATAACAAAAGTATAATGCCTTGTCAAAACAAATTGCTTGTGAAGCACTGTACTGTTTTAAGGTTAATCACGATTTACACAAGATACATGCAAGGTCAATTTATATTGTACAGTTGTTTTTATGTTTTTGTAAATTTTTTTATTTTGTAGAATAAAAAAGCCCATACCCTGTTTATAGTAGTTTGGCTTTGCCCATTGCGGCTTTGCCCATTGCATGTCAGACACTGGTTTCCCTTCAATTATTTTCATCCTTTTTGCCCCTCTGTAGACATTCCAACTGCAAGTTTTTGATGTGCATGGTACTTGGTTCTTGGAAACACAAGTCATAAAAGCATGATCCAGCTTGAAGATCACGGCTACAACATGGTTACATGAAGAACCAAGTCTAAAAAGAAATATAGATTACACAGCATTTAAATTCAAATATTTACAAATCTAACATCAAGTTTACATAGTTAATTCACAAATATAATTTATATGTTTTTTTTTTTTTAATATAGAAATAATAACCTAACAAGAATATTGTATTTACACTCACCCTGCAAAACAGCTACAATATGCACTGCATATTTTCCGCGTCTTTTTTTCCAGAGCAACCCATACAGAATGTGATGTATTCTTGATTGCCTGTGATGGTGTACATTGTGCCTTAACAAAGCAGATACGCTGTCGTCCGAAATATTATGATAAAATATTTCATGAAACCATTTACTATCGAAATAGCTATATGCTTTCCCTTCTTTGTAGTCCGATAACAGTATATTTTCAAGTGAAGGTGTTTTCAGTTTCCTCTTGGTCGGTTCACTAACACAAGGTGCCTCAATCTCCTATCTCAAAATAGATTACAGGGGGCGAAAAAATCACCCCTTCTTTTTCACTTACCCACACATCTTTTAATTCATGAAGTGGATCCGGTAGTTTTTTACCATCTACGTATAGTAGTTCAGATTATTGAAGACATCGTGATCTTTCTTCGCCCACTTCATCCTGTTTGACCGCATAGTTAAGCTGTGCAGCACTATACACAAGGGCCTGGAGTTTGATTTTTCTTCCTGAAGTTTTCAGTCCCCTCAATCGCAAATAGTCTTTTAATGCAGGAACTTTCCACAATTGTAGTTCATCCCAAGTGATACTAGATGTACTACCATCCATATGAAATGATGTTTTTAATGTATTTGTGAATCTCACAAGACAAATAAAGTTGAGATAATCTTCGATTCACTAAAACAAAACACATCGTATCGCGTGTTTTGGGGTATGTTTATCTCCAGTAACCTTTGACCGCGTACTTCTGTTTCAGGCTGCGAAAAGTCTTATACACATAGAACAATGACACCAGAATATACCCTACTTTTTCAATTTCCAACATGTTGGTTCGTATAAAATACATATCACTTTCATGCCTAGGTTTAACATACATTACAAAAATAAGCTATGTATACAAAACTTAGTTAATACTTAGTTCCTCCAGTTATAGCCCACCCACTTTGAATTGGGCTGACCTTTGTGGGGTGGCTTTATAGCGGAGAATCCCCTTTTCAATCAAAAGGAAATTTTTTTAGCTCTGCATTAATTCAAAGTCATTTTCTTTTTTTAATTTGTAAAAGTCAGCTGAGCTCCTCATTCAAATTATATCCTAGTCTTTTGCGAGTGGCATAACGCCTATGCGCTCTCGTGCGGCAATCTGTGGGGTCCTGGTCCCTAGGGGCCCTACCCATAGGGTCCTCGATCTAGCACCCTGACCCAAACAATGATGATGTGTCTCTGACATCGACTGTAGGACATATATCATATTATATCCGGCCCAGTGCCCCACTTAGTGTTAACATTTGAAAAAAATGGAGATAAGAAGAAAATTATATACAAATTTTATGTCGGAGGTGGTAAAGACCATCCATCTGTAAAAGTTCCTCCCTGGAGCTGCCACTGATATCATATCATTTATTTCATCATTAAAAACATTTGATTAAAAACTGAGCATATCTAAAATTATACAAAGGAATTGGGGACTGGGACCCATATCAAAGGGGGGAGGCCTTCGGTATCAGAAAGCCACAGGGCCTCTGGTCCCATCGTTATGCCACTGGCTTTTGCCCTAGGAAAGTCAGGTAAATAAAAGTGGGCGTCAAGTAGGGGCTGGGCTTATACCCAAGGTGAAATTACACCCAAGGAACTACGGTATACTAGCTAATACCCCATTCACAAGACAAAATGTTACGTTGGACATATGCTAGGAAAAAATTAGCAAGTGTTCCCTGCTACAATACATGTGAAGGCACGCATTGCACCGAAGAGAACACAGTTTGACTGTACAGACTTTCGGCAAATTTTGAATTTGCTTGTGAGAAGACAACCAAATTTCAATATGAATATCTTCGGAAATCTGTGTAAAATTTTTGTCTCATGTGAAACAGGCATTAAGTATTCAAGACAATCCATCGAAGAAACTAATCGGATTTACAATGAGCCAGAGATTAACACCAGCGCAAAAACAATGGCCTCTTTACAAGAGCGCTTTTGCTCGCAAAGTGGCACAGATAAATATTTGTGTTTACCGTCTTAGGTATCCGTAACATGTCTGCAATCTTGTTCCACCTGACGTTCTCGGACTTCATTCCTTCCTGCTCCGACAAGATCTGTGAGAGCTTCACCAAGTCCACTTCACATCCTCCAACCTACAAGCAATGTAATAATTTGTAATTATATATTTCACATTTGTATGGTATCCATAGCAAGATATTTTGTATCATACATATAGGAATGTTTCATGTACACCCAATTATCGTTGATATAGAAGTGTATTCAGCTTAAAATCAAATGTTGTACCACTATTTTGCTATCCTGTACAACAAATCATATCTTTATACTAACTGTCAGGATAGCAAGATAGTTTTACAAATATTTTGCTAGTATAAAGATATGATTTGACCAAAGAAGTCCACTCAGCTTTAGAAATCATGTACTTCTTGTTCAAATCTTACGATGTATCATAATTTCTTATTCTGAATAACTAGTGTATAAGTAAGATTTGACCAAGGAAGTGCACTAAGATTTTTGAAACCATGTACTTCTTGTTAAAATCTAATGATGATCATAATTTGTTATTCTGAATAACTAGTATAAAAGTAAGATGTGATCAAGAAGTGCACTAAGATTTGAAACCATGAACTTCTTGTTCAAATCTTAGGATGATGTATCATAATTTGTTATTCTGGACAACTGATATAAAAGTAAGATTCACTAGAGAAAGGTACTACAGTAAGATTTTCAAACCATGTAATACTTGTTCAAATTTTATGATATATCATATGGTATATATCATTCATTGTTATTCTGTATATCTAGTACTATATAATCGCAAGATTTCACTCAAGAAATGCAATACGATTTGAAAACCAAATGAGGCTTGCCATTTTAAAACCAGTGTACTGTCGCTAATTTTTAAACTGAGTAATTAGCATAAGAATCTGCCAGTATTGTATACTTTAGTACAGAGTATCTGTAATGCTTTTACTCGTAACTTTGGCAATAGTAAGTTGATTACAGAAAATGACCCATCATTTTCAAACTTATAATGTGGAGGATATGAATACATTAAAAAGTTAAAAATTTTCTTGTTTAGTCACTGGTGCTGTTTTTTGGATGGCAAACTCCAAATGCTCCTTGTTCCTATCTTATGATACTGCGTATCATTCATTTTCTATTCCGATAACAATAAAAGCAAAAGATGATAAAAATCACTTATGAAATTAAAAGGTTAGAATAGTAACTCAAGTAGCGATCTCTATTAAGAAACTTCAGAGTGAAAAGTGAAACCTTGTAGTAATGACGATATATTTCATAAAATTAAAGACAGACTACGATGATGCCCTTTAAAATGAAGGGAAGTTGGGCTGCAATTAAAGCATTACTAACAGTTGTAATGAATTTTAACGTAATTTCTGTATCCAGTTTCGTAAGTTAAGCGTCATTTTGGTTTTCTCAGGTGTCATTTCTTGCGCTTCTAGCATTTAAACCACAAGCGTAGTAAACTACATAATTGAGATTTCATAATCCAAAAGCCATAAATTGTCTAATTTGGATTTAGGTAGATACTAAAGCTCTAAAGTTCAGAGAAATACGCATTCTTCTACCTGCACACAAAGATAATTATGATCTGGTTTCACATTAATGCATTTATGTATGATTATGCACAGTTTTCTAGGTTCAAATAGACCTCAACCCTACATTACAGTACACTGCAATTGTCTACAGTTGCTTTTAATGTATCAGGCTATGCACTATAAAACATTGTAGTAGAGGCAGAAAGTTATTTCAACAACCATAGAATTCTTGTAATTGATTGCTGAATATAATTAGCATTAGATTTTTTCCATATTATAGAGATTTAAAAATTGTAACTTATGCTTCATTATAACTTTTTTTAAGAAGTATTTGTCATTTTTGATTTACTGTATAGTTTTTCTTTTAATTTATTTTCTATATTTGGATACAAAAAACAGCAGCATTAGCTGAATGGTGTTTATATTATAAAGGTTTTAAAAACAGTGTAAAGTCAAGTAAATATAGGCCTACAAAGAGGAAATGATTTACAATAAGAACACTGGTACTTAAGAAATATCAGAAGTAATGTTCTCACAAAAATCTTATTTGTTTAATCATATTCATGAAATATTTCTCTAACATTTGTCTTTTTACTATTTTTTAAAGCATCTATTTTCCCTCTTCTCACCAACGCAAGTTCACCCAGGACATTAGCACGTACCTGCGGAGGTTGAACCATTCCATTGCCTTGTTCTTTTAAGTGTCTCTTAATACATGCAAGTTGCCGACTTTCTAAATTCCATCTGAAAAAAAGAAAAATCATTCAAACTATTAGGTAGAAAACAAAATTTATATCGTCCAAGGCCACCAAACCAAAAGCTTAAAAATATAAGGTTTATTGAAAGAATGTTGTTAGGTTAATGATTTTTAAAAGAGGCACTTTACAAGCTTAATATACTTAATTAATTTGATACCTTTGTTCATTTTACCAGTCAAAATGCATGCAATGATTGATGGTCTATTAATGAACCCTGATTCCTTTTTTATCTGACTGTATCTTGAAGGGTGAAGGGCTGCCTGTTAAAGATATGACTTTTCCTATTAAATGATCACTCCTTGACATAGGCCTATATTCCAAGTCTATATCTTTATTTTGAAGTGGAAAGTTTGATCGCTTGTGCAGGTGTTTTAACAAGGCCATTTTAAAGTTTTAAAATAATGAATTGCAATATTATACATATATTCAAAAAGCACAGATGAAAAATGGAAAAAAAGAAAAACATTGAAACATAATTAAATGATGCAACTTAATATATCATTTTTAGTTTGGTCTCTAATTCAATTGTAGGTAACCCCCTGCACTATGGGTAGTGGCTAGAACTAGTGGGGTAAAGGAGAAAAACTCTGCAGAGTACATGCTATTCAAATTTATATTTTTGTGAACTTACATATGATATAATCTATTAATATACTGCACTTCTGTATTGAATTTCATGTCATCTTTCAATTTACACTCCGGCTGCAAAAACAGATATTGGATAATGATTAATTAATTTAAAAAACAAACTGTCACTTATATGGCAAACCTAACAATTACTAAAAATGTCTTTTTATTAGGAATTGCCTAATTTGTATACTTTAATAGGTTAGTTTCTAAACGAAAATTAGAACACAATAATGGTTCTTTAAAAAACACCATTCCTATATAATAATTCTATAACAATTAAATAAATGCATAAGCACAACAAAATCTCTGCTCAGTAAAAAAATGAGGTCAAATCTTGTACTTTTACCGACCCCACAAAATTAAGCCACCTAAAGGTTAACATCTTAATGACGGATAATTACAAACACATATAGAGGGCTCATCAAAACCGAACAACTTAATAAAACGAGAATAATCTCTGAACAGAGCCCCAGGTTACCAATGGGCATGTTATTAAGTATTGGAGCTCTAATCCATGCTAACACACATAGTATCAGCTGGGAATTGATGAATCATACTTTTCAACCATGTGAAATTAATTTGGAGTTCAGCCGTGTAGATGTTTATAGCAGAGGCAGATTGGGGGTTGTTTGTGGAGTCTATCATCACGCTGTTAGCTCACCTACATTTTAATATAGCGTAGGCCTTTTCATCTTGATACATGTATTATCATTATTAATTCATATACATATATACTGTCAAACCACAAAAAATAAATAATACATAAGAGTGTCCAATATCTATGTTAAACATATTGTATATGTTAACATTTGCAAAAAAAACCCCCTAAAAAATCAAATTAAACATTTTAATGGATCAAATAAACTATTTTTCAATTTAAAAACATTATTAAGTACAACATATATATAATCTTTCCTGTGACCCATGACCCTCTCAAAAAATTTACATGATAAAAAGATGATTATTATAGCTTTGAGATCATTTTATCTTTTTGATAAAAGGCATATCTACACTGTTGAACCGTTCCCTCTAGCTAAACTCCCATTAAAATCATTAAAAAATGGGTTATCCCTATCAAAAATCGAAACATTTTAGTTTTTGAATACCTATATATTTTTCCAAACAAAAATCTCTTAACTGATCAATATACAATTAAAGGGTCTAAAGGCAGCCTGTAGAGGAATTATAGTATATCTCCCTCGGGATTCAACACCAAGTACGTTTTTCTCAAATATTTATTATCATATCTAATTATTACCAGTGGAGGTGTATCTCCATAACTAAGTTACTTTCGTGTGATTTACAATAGAAGTAATTGGAATATTAAATTCATAAGTTTAATTACTGAACCCAGAGAGTATATACCTTCAAGTTAACATGTTACAGAATTGTTTTCCTGTTAATAATTCTAGTCTGAGGATAATGCACAGTACATGAAGGTGCTCAACTTCGCAGCAAAACAAATATCATGTTAATGTACCCTTTAACCTAACCAATTGATTAATTTCTCTCGGAAACTACTGAAATGCCTCAGAAGAAACATTGATGTAGTTAACCCGACGTTTCTCATTGCCTGATCCATTTGCTTTATATTACTGTCAGTATTAAGTTAATAAACAATAAAAACCAATATTCAAATTGCTTACTTTGTATATTTAAGTAAGTTATTAGCGTTCGATTGAAAATTGAATGAGAAAACAATTCTCTAGCCAATATAAAAATACTTAATAAAATATGTTTTCTCAAATATTTATTATCATCTTTAATTATCACCAGTGAAGATGTATCTCCATACCTCCAAAAAGTGTTCTAATGGGAAAATCCAAGGGCATATGCCACTTGGCCTCATAGCTCAGTTGGTAGAGTATCTGAATAGTGATGGAAAGGTCTTGGGTCCTGATGGGGACAATAATTTTTCTCAAATATTTATTATCATCTTCTATTGTTAAGTGAGTTCTTTACTAAGATCCTTGCCCTGGATTAACTTGATGTAAACACCGAGGATAACCCATAAAAGTCTGAAGAATACTTATTTCCAGTGGGGATCCTTCTGGTAGTAATTCGAAAGGCAATGAGCTATTGAAACTTGCATTTCAGCCCTCTAGCCAAAACACAGGATAGCAGCAGTGGGAATTGAACCAAGAACCAACAGATCTCCACGGTTCAGCACACATATAGTGGCAAACACCAGTTTAGTCAGCTGAGCTAATCTGCTTCAAGAGAAAATTAGAACATGGAAATATTTTCCTCAATAATAAACAAAAAAAACATTAACACTATACAAAATTTTTTTTGCATGAAGTCTTAAACTGAATGTTAAGTCAAGAACTGCAGTATTGAAATAGCCTGTAAATCAGCGAACATTCAATTGTTTAGATAATAATAATAATAATAATAACAATAATAATAATCATCATCATCATATAAGAATTTATAAAGCATCAATTATGCACAAATATTAAGAGTATTGATTTCTTTCTTAATTTAAAATGAATAAATAAATATTTTTATTCTACATGTTATTACACAAACAGGATGAATATTTGATTTAATGTTCAATTTTTTTCCTAGATATTATTATCTATATCTTATTAAATTCTTATTTTGCATTCTTGTAATCTTATCTATTTTTTTCATTCATATCTTGCCCCTGTTAGAATGTAAATTCAGGTTGCGTCCTAGCTTTTTTAAATGTGTTTTTTTTTTCTTTCTTATGTTTATTTTGAAATATCAATAAAGTATGATTCTAAGTAAGAATGCTAAGTGAATTTTATAAGGAGGATTTGGATTGTACATCCTAATTTCAATTATTATGTAATATACTTACAACACTCGAACAGGCGTGGCTGTGTATACAAAATTAAATTATTTATGGATTGCTGTATTGTGCAATACTGATTTTGAGCAATCCTAAGGAGAATTAGCAAACACGCTTTCAATTTTGATTACATTTCCATTTCAACGATACCGATCATCGATATTTCAAACTTCATTGGACTTAAAAAAAAATTGAAAAGCAATTAAATTTAAGATCGAGTAAAAACAACTAACCCTCCATCCTTTTGGTGGAACAACTTTACAAATTCCGCATTTTTCAAGGTCATCAGACATAGCCGTCACATATGCGATAGGGTCACTCCATGACCCTTGATTTGGGTACAACACGGGGGCGTCCGTGGCCACGACTTTGGCATGAATCGGTAGAGAATTACGAGTTCTTTTTGGTGATCGATTGATTGTTAAAGTAACTGGAGTCTTGCTGCAGTTATTGAAGTCTGTTTGATATTTAGAGGACGTTCTACGTTTCTTTGCAAGTGATACGTGTCCAGTCGGGGTTTGTGTCCCCTGAGGTAGTTTGTTGTCGGTTAGAATTTTGTCTGCTTCACCAACTTTTGAGGCATTTTTTGTTTTCAGTACATTAAAATCAGGATTCTGCTTTGGTCGGCCACGTTTCCGCTTGACTTTAACTTGTGTTTGGTCTGTTAACGTTGAAATCACATGATTAACATGGTTTTTCGGAATCTTTTCCGCTACTGAATTCAAATCTTTCTTTGTGTCTGCCTTTGTTCTTGGCTTAAAAAGGCGGATGAGACCATTTTTTGGCAAGGTAAGAGCTGTTGCTTGAAGAAACTTATCGTTGACACTATTTGCTAGTGAGTTTTTATTATGGTTCATTCCTTCAGTTTGGCACTTTGTCAATTTATGTCTTCGCTTCGAAACACGTCCATTCCTAGCTGGTTTGAAAGCCATGGAAACTAGCTCTAGAGTGCAATTTGTTTCCATGCGCTTAAGTGCCCCGTTGTGTAACTTCTCACCACGTAAGTAAATGCAGTCCGAGTTATTCTTATCTAAAATTTTCCGGTGATTATTGTTTAAAAATGGTTTCCTATGTTTACTTGATTTCAGTCCGTTTTTCCGTCTTTCCTTTGTCTTTAGTACATGATTATTTGGGATCCTTTTCAACACCTGCTCCTTCCTAGGCTTCCGTAATCCATTTGTATGTCCCTTTGGAAGGAATGGTATCATCGGTAAGAGGCGTGGTGGTGCTCTTTTTCTTGGTACGACAGGTATTGGAGGTGGTCCGGGATCCAAACAAGGTGGGTTACTTGCAGTATTTGGTATTGCTGAGGTGTCCTAAAAAAAACAATACAAATATTATTAATGATAATGAAAAGCAACAGGATTTCATAATTTGATCTAGTAATGATCATAATAAAATAAAATTCTGAATTTTATTCCAATATATAAATACTATGAAGTATAAAATGGAAAACTGAATGAAAATAAAATAAGCAGATAATATACAATAATAACCTAAAGAGAAAGTGATGAATTTAAATATAATTAGATTTATAATAAGACGTTTTGCCCAACCTGATGTGTTATCCTACAGAATATTCAGTACGTTCCCAAATGATTATACAGTAATACTTACACATTATTAATGGTAGTAGAGTAACTACAACCTCAACACATAATCAAATTATATTCAAAATATAAAAGTTCAACTGCCCTTGCATTACTTTTATTTTAAATTTGAATTTCAAGAATAAACAAACAATTCAAAAATTTGGAAAAATTCCTGGGTATAAAAAGCACCCCTCTCAAAATTTGCCCAATTCTGCATTACAGGGGGAGGGGGGAGGTGTGTGGAGAGTACCAAAGGAAGTATGGCACTACTATCTGGATAGCAGCAGTTTAATTGGCTGGCAGTCAAGGAATGCATGCTAGAGTCTGTGAAAAATTCAAAAACAATTTTATTTTGATAACTTTCTTGAACCTTTTCAGCAATTCAAATTTGCAAGTATTAAATGTTTGAGGTTTTATAAGTTTGAGCAAACAATACTCAAGCAGTGGCATACCTACAAGACTTGAAATGGGAAGGGGGGGGGGGAGCTAAAGGTGAAGTTAGCTCATAAAATAAGGTGATTTGACATGATTTTTAACTGTTCGGCCGTCCCTTGGACGGCCAACAATTATTTAGGACGGCCACTTTTACCATGATGGCTTGGCCTACTCAGCTGGGTCTAGCCTATTTGGGACTGGTCTACTTTAGCAAATTCTTTATATTCTTCGAATCTATCAAATGTTGCTATTTCGTTTCCCTGGCTAAGCCCCTGTTTTTGGGGGAGGTGCCTCCTCCCCTAGTTACGCCACTACATTCAAGAGGCTGACCTAAATTGAGAGATGGAAATTCAGACGTATTGGAGTACATTATCCCCTTCTCCATCTCACTCTACCAATGCCAATATGAAGATAACAGTCTTTTATACCTACTGGGTAAATACATAGAAAATAAAACTACACTAAATTAAACTAAACTTTGCCAAAATGTTGGTGACTTTATATTAAAACTTGTTAAATTTCTGTTAGCTAAGTTGATAACTTAACTGATCTTTTTGAATAAACAATTGCATTGGGCTTTTTGTGGTTTCCAGACCGAATTCTTTGGAATCAGCTGTTCCACAAAGCGCCAATCAGTAGGGACAATTGTTATAGCACCACTTCACATACAGCGCTCCACCCTGAACACCCGCTGGGGCTCTGTCTATGGTATACCGGATTTGAAAGGGGCCAGAATAGGCAATTTAAAGCATTTACCCATCATCCACTTAAAATATAACAACCATCACCAACTATAATCAATCATATATTTTGGCTAGCTCCCTAAAACAGATACATACTAACAGATCATACTGCTCATAAGAGATACTATGTTATTACTGATTCTATGTTGATATGAAGCCCCAGTCTAAATAGGTCAAATAAAGTAATTATCCCTTTTCCCATCAATACTTACACCTCCAACTCTACTATTAATCATATCTTTTGGCTAGCTTACTAATACAGATACATTTGCTAATCTCGCTTATAAGTCTTAAATACTAAAGTCATTGTGGACCACAGTCTGAATAGGTCAAAGTGCAGTACTTATCCCCTTTCCCTCCTAAAAATATTGGCATATCCACCATTATAATCAATCATAATTTTTGGATGCCAGACCACAGCTTATATGAGATTGTAGGTTATTGCTGGTACTGTAGCTTCTACATATAGAATACTGAAGTCGATGTGAACCTACCCCCCACTTATATGAATAGGTCAATTAAAGTACTTAAACGCTTCCCTTCTTAAACATCGTATTGGCATATCCACTACATAATCAATCATATATTTTGGCTAGCTCAATAAAACCGATACATTTCCCAGACCGCAGCTGGTCAGGTTATCTCTCATTGCTCCAATGTCTAGAAAACTGACCATATGAATTGAACACCCCCAGTCTAAATAGGTCACCTACCCACTCCTCTTAAAAATATTGGAATCTCTACCATTACTATAATCAATCATATATTTTGGCTGGCTCACTAGAAACCAATTAGATACCTTTGCCAGACCACAGCTTGTAAGGTTTTCTAGGGATATGTTCCTACTGAAAAACATCCCTAGAAAAACATCAGCCACCAGAACGGTTTCTGGTGGCTGATTTTGAGTTGATTTTCTACATACATGTCATCATCATTTATTTTACACATAAGCTTTTGGGATGGAAAACATACAAACTATGTTAATTCCACCTTTTCGAATAATAGTTTATTCGTTTTTGGTATAATAAAACAATGCTATTTGCGTTGCAGCTAAAAAAACAACCTCACAAAGATTGTTTCTTTGGCGTCTAGGCACAGTATAGATTCCAGTGCCAAAGAACCATTATTCGGGACACTAAAAAGAACAGTTCTTTTTTGTGGGCCCCTTTTCTACTGTTGTGAAGAACCATTCTTTAAAAAAATGAGGAATAGTTCTTTCTTGACAGTAGAAACCCCTTCTTAAAAATATCAGAATCTCTACCACTGCTGTAAAGAGTAAAAGGTAGATACCTTTGCTAGACCATTGCTTGTGGGGGTTTCTGGGTTATCACTTATCGGTTCTATGCCTGGAATACTGAAGTCGCTGTCATTAACTCGCGACTTTGTCTCAATTTCATCATCTTCCTCATTTGTCTCTTTATTATCGCTGCTCTGGAAGAAGGATAGAGCATGCGGCAGTGCTGGTGACCCTGCAAAAAAAAAAAAAGCATTAAAAAACAATAGTAATCACATCCAACAGCAAGTATGCTTCTCAATAACACCATAAAATGATGCTCTATAAAAGTATGTTTATGATAAAATAACCCATCTAACTCAAACTCAATTTGTATGTTTTTTCTACTGTATTATCAACTGTCTCCCAGAAATACTGTAAGTAGCAATGATTTTTGTTTTGCATCATGTACAACAAAATATAATTAGATTAAAAAGCTCATTTAAACAGATCTCCTAAATGTGGATTCTTCCGAGTTGGGACCCCTGACAACAGAAAGTAAGACTTTGCGAATGAGCGGTCAGTTTCATTGTCAATACATTTGTTCAAAAATTAAGCAATGTACACAGCAGTAGAAAAAACTTGGGTAGATTTTGTAGAAATTGCATTGGAATTTTCTACTTGAGAAAAGCAGTGTGGTTATTTTTCCTAAGCAAACATTCGCTTTTTTTAACTTATAGCATATGGCTTAGGTAATTTCTAGTCTTAACTACATTATAGCCAGCTTTTATCACATGGTGTTACGAGTCTCTCCTGTAAGACCAGTGCTATAAAAAGAAGATTAGCGAAGATTGTATTGAGTATTGACCAACAATCTTCCCATACAAACTGTGTTCTTTTTATTACTAATGAACGTCTTATGAATACTATTGTTGTGTGATGAACGTTGTGTCACGCATATTTGCACATAAGCTCGTTGCAATATTGAGAATATAAGTTGTCTAGACTTCAGCCATCTCTGCAGCAAAGAGTAGCCACTTAGAATATACAGTATATGTAGGTCACCTCATACCATAGGAACATCCCTATTAATGGGACACCTCCAATAAAGACTTTTTGACTGCAAATTTATACGGAAATGTATCATTTAACACTATGAGAAACTCATTTCAAATTGTATGGTATGTAATTATGGACATAATATATTATAGCAAATTCACTAAGACAGTAATTCTTGAGCATCTTCACACTGAAAAATTAATCCAACTCCATATTTTCAATCAATCAATAAAATCAATTTGTTATAGAAAATTAAACACTGCCCTCTGGAGACATACAGTAGCAAAGATCTTATAACAATATAGCGCTCTTTACACGTAGTAAAACAGAAGGGTTCCTTTGCTCAGAAAGTAATTGTAATTCAGAGAGGGCATCCTAGTTATTACAAGAATTTGCACAAAGACCATAGATGTCAAAGTTAAGAAGTAATTGTAAATACGAGAGAGCGCCCTACACAGCATTGTTACAGAATTTATATGCAGAAGTCGCGGAGAGCGCTATCTCGTTATTATAAGATTTTTGGCAGCAGTTAGTTATCTTTACTATTGGTTGCTATAAAATAATAATATATCACAAAGAAATTGATACGCTAATGAATGGATGAAATAGTGGGTGGAATGATGGATAAATGATTATAGATTGATGCAAAGATAAATGGATTAACAGATAAATAAGTAGTTAGAATGATAGATAAAAATGCTGATAAACTGCTTCTGTGATTGATAATTAGATGGCTATTAGAATGGATAAGATATAAAGTGAAACTAAACGAAGGAATCCATTAAATTGATATCAAAAATTTCAGAGAAAATCATCCCAACAGTTTGAAGTGCTTTAAAATGGATGTTCAACCAATACCCTATTTAAATAATCTAGAGACACATATTTGTATAACGTAGATAGCTAAGCTAAAATATGGGAACCAACGTAATGTGTAGTCATAAATTGGAAGAATAATTATGCAATCTTTGTTTTGACTGGACTACATTAAGAAAAATACAAACATCATAAACATACTCATAAATGTACATTACTGCCGGAGAAGAATAAACCATCGCTCCCAGCACAAAAACATTATCAATTCAAAGTTAGTTCATGAAAATAAAAAAGTATGTCAATATAAGTGCATATTGGTTGTCAAGCAATTTTGTATTCGACAACAATTTTGTAACAACAACAATGCATATTTTAACACGTTTTTTGTTTTCACAAACTAACACTATCTACTTTCATTGTGTTAGTTTGTGATATGAGCGGCGAAACTATGATAGTTTGAAATTGTTTGCTTTTCTTTACATTTTTTGTCTTCAATCAATTTAGAAATTGGAAATACAGAGAATTTAGGCTAGGCTCCCTGAGACACATGCCAGTTGCTGATGTGTAGTGTCTTGTCCCATACTTTCAACTAACTATATGTAGCAGATTCATATGGACACAAACGTGTTCCTTAACCTAACTCTCAATGCGCGATTTATTCGCAGTGAGCCGAGCAACCAGACTCCCAATGAAAAGTTTTGAGTTTTTTAGAATTTGAATCGGGTTCGAAGATGCAACAACCAGGCACATTCCCTTTTATTCAAACACTCAGTTGGTCTTTGTTTGATGTTGAAGCATATAGAGATGTTAAATTATGTTTGAGATCCGACATGTTATTGGCTACGATTGTCTGTATCTCCATTCAGGAATTTTTTAGCAAGTGATTGGCTAATCATCTCTGCCACATAAAGATCTCGCTCAAATGTTTCATAGTTAAAATATAAAACAACTGTAAAGCTGAGGAACCCTACCTTTCAAGCAAAGGAACGTGAGAAAGTCTTCAGTCTTTGGACAAGCACGGACAAGTTCTGGTTGCTCACATGTGAAAAGCTTGACAGGCGTCGTGCTGGGGGTCGGGGGTAAGGACTGAGCAAACTTCCTCTGTGCACGTACTTTTGGCCTAGAAGATAAAAATCATTTAAAATTAGTTAAATAGTTCATTTAGCAAAAAAAATCCGGAAAATCATTCAAAATAAATTCTAAAATTTTGAGTATTGCATTTCAAAGGATCAAACTAGAAAGAGATTGAAAATAAATATTTTTCAATGATTTACAGACATTTTACTACAGAAATTTGTTGATTAATAGCCAATTTATGAGTCTATGCAAAATAATACACCAAAGATATTATTATAAACTATCTATTAATTCAAATTATGAATTCAAGTTAATAACTTAATAACAATGCAAACAAATTAAGGGAATTCAATAGAATTGAATTATTTAAATTTTTTAACTAATGAGAAATAGTACTAGAACATCTTTAAACATAGAATAACTCAACACTTTAACAAATCCTGTCAAGCTTTAGTTTGAAATTTATTTAATTATTATTGACTGTTGACAATAAGGCTGAAGTCAGTCTACAGTAAAATTGATGTTTAAGTACTTTGCCACATTCAAACGTTTTCTAAACTGCGCAAGAAAAAATTTGCTTTTCTGAGCTGGAAATACACCAAATATATAAAAACTAAATTACAAGACAAGTATTCAAAATATACAGTCCATAATTAACATACAATATATACAGTACAGTAAAAAGAAGACTTAAATGAGTTGTGCACCATGGAGGTAACTGTGTTGAGTTGTAATTAAATGGTCAAACATAGAGATTAAGGGTATAAAGATATAAGACTATCTGGTGAGTTCAGTTGGGTGGCGCTGCACTCTGGCAGCCGGAGGTCCCCAGGGGCCTAGGCCCAAATTTCAGATTTCTAATTAGAATGACGACAAATGAAGAATTATTAGTTACTGAATTCGATCTTAACTATTCCAAATCACTTTAATAATGTTCTAAAATCCAATACACAAAGAACATTGGTGACTCGTAGAATTATGTAAAATGACAATAAAATAGTAAACTGACATTTTTTCCCGGCCTCTAAATGCCAACTCAGACAGCGTCGTACGATGCAGCCCGACGCGATTTATCGTTGAGGACAGTCTTAAGCCATCTTGAGAAATATTAAACATGTTTAATATTCTACGACGCGACTGCCCCCAACGCAAACCATTGCGTCTGCGTTTAACTCACACAGAACCGATGCGACAACAAATCGCCTTGGGCTGCGTCGTACGACGGTGTCTGAGTTGCCCTTTAAGCCTAGGTACTTGATTTTGAAGCCAAAATGAAATGTCTGACTACCACCAATCTAATAAAAAGAACATAATAATTAAAGCTGTAGGCGTATCAGTTGTGTTTTGCTCTCTCAAACTTGAGGTTAGGGTTTTGAACCTCCGCTGTGATCTCACTTATGTTCCAGGACAAGGCACGTATGTCTGTCTCTCGCCACTCAGAAGCACAAATGAGTACCTGGTTGAAATACAATTAGGAAGTAAAAAGGTGGCATTGAAAGGAACTGGCTACCCTACAACACAATTCCAAGCCTTAGTACGATGGGGTAACAGCCTCCTTCCCCTATGTTCAGTAATGAATACGGGACTGCTTTTATGTGAATAATTGAAGATATCAAATTTGCCATTAGAATGTTTAATGAACTGTTTCAGTAAATTCATATGACATTGATGATTGAAATGAAAATTGCTTATACACTTTAATGTGAATATTAATGCTATGGAGGTCATGTAACCAGCTTTCAATTCAACCTTATAATCAGCCTATTGCCAGGTCACTTGCTGATAAATGAGATTGAAAACAAAAATACTACAAGTCACCAATCCAATCCCAGTAATATTATGGTACCAACCACAGAATAAACCAGTATAAAAGTTATTACAGGGAGGCAATGGCGTATCTAGTGGGTGCGCGAGGTGCATTCCCCAAAAAAAGCTTGCTTCACCCCAAAAAAAATCTAGCACCCCGTCATCCTCTCCCGCCCATTGAAAATGTCTGAAGCAAAAAATCATGCTTAAGTAGTTAAAAATCACCTCATATCACCTATTTTTGTGACCTATCCCTGTCCCTTGCTCATTCATTGAGACCCACTCCACTTTTTCTCCCTTCCTCATTTGAAGACTCAAAGATACAGATGGATAGGTTTAGTTAATAATCAATGATTTAATACTAATATCCATCTTAAGCTAATGCAAAAAAGGTGAAAGATTTATAAGTTGAGCAGTAAAAACCAGGAAAAAACAGCAATAAATCTATCTGCAATTAAATCTACACACTGCACACTGTCATTCATCTGACATATATTATTGACAGGTTTGTTATGAAGTGTTTACAATGTAGAACAACATGGAAAAACAGAGGAAAAGAAAGATGCAACTATTAAATGACATTGAGTTGCGGACCCAGGAGGTGAAAAATAATGATACTCGCCCCTTCGGCGTCCATTAAAAATGATATTCAGGGGTGGGTCTAGAAGGTGGCAGATCCGGGGGTAGCAAAAGCAACTCGTTCCCCCTTTCCCCTCCCCTCGGTAGTAGCCAAAAAATCACTAGGCAAGAAAAAAACCCCAAAGCTCTCGATCACAAATGAATTTGAAAACAGTGCTTATCACAAATTAATGGAGTGTTAATATGGTATAATGTGATGTACATAGGAAAATCTAACATCTTTAATGTATTGTTAGTATTATTTAACCTGTGATAAATCTGTTGTTTAATATAGAGACACAATGATACAAAACATCAAGACAGGTTTATGTAATAATGCGCATTAACGCTTAAATTCGCCACATATTTGCTGAGGCATTAAGAACAGTGCTTAGCACTTATTAGATCATTTATGCTTTGTAAGGTTATACATTTTCAATTTTAACATTAAATTTAAATGATTTTTTTTTGCCAATCAACAAGACATTTCTATATTTTTGCTTAGATCTTTACTTACTTTATCAAATTTCAAAATATTTATAGCAAAAAGTAGAAGCTAGATTGTTTCAATCTGGATCTCACTATAAATTGATAATATTATTTGATCCTATTGAATATTTTAATTTTTTAAAGATTTCTTTTCAAGCAGATCACAATATATTTAATAATAGGTGAAGTATAAACTAATTCAGTATAAAATGCTGTATAGAAAAGACAAGAAAATAATGAACAAGCATCACTACGGAATGATAAATGTATGTAGCATAAATGAATAATTATCTAAAGTTATGATTAATTATCTGAAGATTAATAAGAAACACAAAGCAATGAATCTAAGAGAAAATCAATAAGAATCAAAAACATAAACTGCTATGATCATTTCTGTGTGTTTCATATATAGTAGTACTCCATCTACTAAAATGTATTACTAGTACTACACACATTAGCAGCCATTGACTCTATAGAATCTGTCTCTAGCGTAGTATAATTATTATCTTTTCATGTAGGCTAAGTAGACTTAAGCAGTCACCTCGGCACTGAATTAACTATATTTGTTTACAATAAAGGAAGTCGGTGATTACTATCGTATTTAGATTCCATATCCTCCTCTACTGAAGACAGGTTCTTTGTCTTCTCCTTTGTTTTTATGTTTCATTGATACATTTAATGTTATAATTGCTTCCTGTGGATACGATAGTACGACGCCTTCGCTGAGCTCGCTCACAAACAAGTCTATTGTATGGGATGATCTGCTTGTCAATATTTATTAAGGAGGCAACGTCCTTGACTATGTTTAAGGACCACCTGAAAAAACATCATTTTACTATTTGTCTTTTTTATTTATTACATTTTGTGTGTTATAGCGCACTGAGAAATTATTATAGGGTGCTATATTAAAAAAACTATATTATTATTATTATTATTATTATTATTATTATCATTATTATTATTATTATTATAGCTCTGGCCAGACCATCAAATTTTCTTTAAAAAAATTGTATGCCCATATATGTGATGTCACCATGACCATATTTAATATGTCACATGTTTTGTCAAATAAAATTTAAATACAGTAGTCTGGACTTCACACTATGGTCCCTTTAGAATTATGAATTTGGCCATATATTTGCCTGATTAGGCAAGACAATATCTCATACTATTGTTCCAAGAAACTCACTGCCCACTGTTAATGACGCTTCGAATGAACTAAGACCATCAAATTTTCTTTGACAAAAAACTGTTGTACGCCCATATATAGTCATGATGTTACTATATATGGTCATGATGTGATGTCATCATGACCATATTTAGGCATGTCACATATTTTATCAAATAGAAATAAATAGCTCGAAGAAGACTTCATACTCTGATCCCTTTAGAATTATGAATTTGGCTATATTGCCTGATTAAGGCAAGACATTTCTTTATACCTAAATGTTCCGAGAACTCGCTGCCCACTGTTAATGATGTCTTGAATGAACTGTTATTATTCTGGCCTGTTAGCCATGGAATATATGCAATCTTAATTTGTTTTTCATCCCAACTTAATAAATATAAAGCACAATATCAATCTCATTACTTAACTAATTATTCAAAGTTAAGAAGAAAATAAATTGCCTAATGCTGTCATCCATGGATTGCCAAAAGTTTTTAAATAATTACTCGTTAATTTCATTCATTCATTAATTTCACTTTTATTGCCAAATTCCAATTTGGCTCTCCTGACAGCATTAGTAGAAGCTAAGCCAAAAAACAACAATTTATGTTAACAACTCTCATTCTTTATGACTAATTGATAAAGACCTCAGATACTCGGATTACTGTATTCTATTAAACAAAATAACGATTTTACTTTTATCTGCTCAGACCTATTTTGCTAAATGAGAAAACAAAATTTTATTTACATTTTTTCCCCATCTTTCTTCTCTGATAATCGTTTTATATAAAATTTGGCACAGCTGGCTAATTAAGATTAAGTTGGAGACATCTCCGCCATCCTACAGCATCCCCTCCTTTCACTCACTATTTACATGATTTGTATTAAAGAATAGAGAGAAAATATTCTACCGCTTCCCCTACTCACTGCATGTAAAAATGTATTATTATGTATCTTTATTAAATATAAAACACACAACAAAACACAATTTAATGGAGTTTCATAACATTGAATTGAGGAAGAGGTTTCTTTAAGTTGTATCTTAAGAGAAAGATGTTATTGTACAATACGAAGGTATAATATTCCAGAATTGAAATAGATGCCATCATGCTGGGATTCAACATTTCAACTCTTTATTGGGTTATCATCAAAAATGATACGGTAGTTAAGTTAATGGTAGCCTTATAGAGTACTACAGTGTTACGTCACGATAGCGCGTGATACTACTCCGTTGCTATCGTTGCAAAAAGTGTTCAACCGGGTGCCATTTTCTCCACTGACAAACCATTGATCCCAATTTCTAACGTAATTATTAGGATGTTTTAGTTTTTCTTTGTAAATTTTAATTGATGATTAAATGTTGTTTCAATAACTAATATAATGCAAGTTTTTTGTTTTTAGTACATTTTGATGGTAAAATATTATTAGATTTTAAAATGCCCCTTCCAGAAAGCCTACGAAGTCATTCAGGCGTAATGAATGGTAACCAACGTCTGTTGACGACAGAGTACACCACCTGGCGTCGTGACGACACGGCTGTGGTACTCTATGGTACTGTTTTGTACATGCTTTTCAATTTAATTCTAATCTGTTAATTATTCTGGTTCTTTCCCAAACACTTGTTTGTAGAATAACAACTTTTACACGTTTTACTGTGTTAAAATTAAACTAAACATTATTATCATGCTCATCCACAAAAGTATAAAATTGGTAACAACAGCTATGAAATCATCCTTGAATACATGGATTTAAATTCTAAGCTATGAAATTAGCTAAACAGCATAATTAAATACTGATGAACAAAATTTTGGAGATATCCCTTAAGCTGGGCAACCACTGCCATCGTATGACGAAAACAACTCCGCTCCCTGTGAGCAGGAGACAGGGGAAACCCCGCCTGCTAATTGTTGGTGGCAGTCTGAATGGATCGTCATTAAAAAACATCCGTTGACATTGCATTCTCCTTAGAATCACATGGGCCTTTCTCTCCCCAGACAGCTTATAAAGTACTCTTAATATCTTTTCTCTGCAGCTTGTTTATCTTGATTCACTTAAATTAATAATGTAAGTAAATTAATTGAAATGTCTCATTAAATATGGATAAGAAATTAGAGAACACTTTCCCAGCTCCCACTACCAGATTTCATTTCTGATAGCCTAATTAAAGGTGGACAGGTAGAATGCGAAACAGTAGCTCTCAACCTCTGCTTTACAGCAGCGTACCTTGGGGCATGTGAGGTGTAATCCACTAAAAAGCTTGCTTTGCCAGGGGTACCACCAATTCGTGCCCCAAACCCCTATCGAAAACGGTGGAAGCAAAAACTCGTGCTTGACTAGATGAAAATCACATTATTTTATCCCAATTACTCATTCATCGAGCCCACCACTTCACCTTCGCACCACCCCCTCATAGTTGCGCCATTCCCTACCCTTCCTAGTTGCAGCACTGCTGCTTCATCACCTCGACTCATTAAAATTTTAATGAATAAAAAAAAAAGGACATTACTGCTTCTCCATCAAGCCTCCATCCAATCAATATTGCAATCAGTGGATGTATGGAATACATACTCTAATGTGGTGCAGTCAATCACAGTAAAAAGCAACATCATAAGGACGTCTGAATCATATCATAAACCCTACGTGCAATACGCAGTTTATCAGTAACAGATGGCATGGATTCAGACACAAGATCAAATTTAATCTCAGTTTAATTTAAGTGGGTGTCTAAAGAAATTGCCAGCGAGAAATATCTCAGCTCTACTACTGAGGAAATTCAATCAGAATGATAGGAAATTGAGGACATTTCAACACAGGACTTCTTTCACAGATTCCTTTAAAAAAAAAAACTATAAAAAAAAACAACCATCTCTATTAATAAGTTACAGGATCATAACAATAACAATAAGTGCTTGTGGCACACAACATTGACAGGATCATAACAACCGAAAGTTACAGGTTCTGTTACCAAAATACTAAAGAATGGCACTGAAGTGGATGTACGCTCAGGTGAATTGTTAGCATATTATTAGCGCTAGTTGCCTACAGATCTGTAAATAACACTATTTGGGGCTATATTATTAGAACTCTTCCCTGACCTACAACTTGTACTTTAATTCACTTTTCTACGTCATGGTTGACCTAATTTTTTTTTCATAGTACTTTTGTTTTTGTACTTCAAATCAAGAAAAGCACAATCAAACAATGACATAAGCCCACAATAGACATTTACAGTTTTTACATTCAATAAAGATGTATTTTCCCATGCAATAAAAAATACTGAATACATAAAAATTATTTTTAAAAATTAACAACATAAAAATTATCAACTTGAACATAGAAATTAGTTTTAAAATGTTTACTCATAATATTGCAGCAAAAAATGATAGAACACTTCCAGTCACTGGATGATATTTTTACTTTTATCCAGTAAAAACATCAAGGTACACATTTTTAAGTTAATTTGTTACTGCAAAAACAATTTCAAAATTATTAAATGATTTTTTTTTTTTGTCATTTTCTCAAGGTACACTGCAAACTAACACATAATTTCTTTTATTTTTGCAGGATGTCCTAACACAACATTTGTCTTCCTTATCTTAATCTCTACGGCTTTGCCCTTTTCTATTCTTAACACATCATTTTTTCTGTTTATAATGTACTTAAAAAGGAAGTAATAAATGTTATATTGAATTTTTTTTTAAGTACTTCAAAATATGCTAGTACAACTAATGAAAATACATTGTAGCTTTAGGCATAAAGCAAACTCTTCATGTATTTACTATAATATTTATTAATTTTTTCCATTCAATTTGCAGTATACAAACAATTCCAAATGATGGGCCTACATAATTTAAATCAGAAAATAATAAAATTTGTTACACTTTTGGGCTAAATCATCAATATGTTATAATTCTTAATGAATGGCATTTATCACATAAGAAACGATCAGTTTTTATGCTAATAATTTTTATGCATAACAATTACATGATCATTTTTAATGTTTTCTTTTAACTGATGCTTCATTTGAATAATTACTAATTCTACAGAAGGCCAACAACAAATCAGCATAAGAAATAAAATTTATGATATTAAAAAAAAAAAAAGAAATGAAAGGTCTCATACAAAAATATCATCAATAAAAGAAATGTTTAAAAATAATATGAATAGTATTTATAATATATGCTTTAACAATAATTAATAAAAAAAAAAAACCAATGTAAAAAAAGAAAAGAAAATGAAAAAATTAAAAATTGGGTTGAAGAAGTGCCCTATGACTCAAAATTGACCTATAACCTTTTTAGTAATCATTAGGCTACAGAAGGTGGATATATAATGGCAAACAAACTGTTCTTTAACTAGTCCTGGATTCTGCATTATTCATCCATAGTACACATAGTAAATCATTCAAGGATTACACCAATATCTCCTCTCGAGGGAGCCCTTCCACCGGCGGTGCATTTAGTACGCCACATGCTTTTCGCTGCAAATCTAACCGATGCTAAATCTTCATCATGATTCTAGCAGAAATTTGTTGCAGCAATTGTGCTGTATGCTACTGTACTCGTCTAATGGGCATGTTTTAGTTAAATACAGACTTGGTAATGTACAGTAGTAATACAGAGATTTGTCACTGTGTAGATTGTAGCAATTAATTGGAAAGCAATCTAGCTGTAGCCATGAATTTACTCTACCCGACTCCACCATTGCTAATATGTTTTATGAATCGATGGAAATAACTGATAGAACTCTCTCTTGAAGATATATTCTCTGTGTTAGTCTACACTTGCATGAATGAAAAAATTGAAGCTGCTACTCTGCAGCAAGGTAAAGGCTTTCAGTCAACAATTATTCTTAAATATCTGTACTATAATAATGGTACTATAATAATATTCGCAATAACATAGTCCATTAAATAAGCTGGCACACTACTATAAATTTTCAAATTTTTAAAAAGAAATTTTCTAAATAAATCAACAAAAATATTTATTTTTAAAAACAAATCTGTGTCTCATTTGTTTGGATATTTAAACGCAATAGTGATACAGCATCTTCTAAAGAAATAAAGAATCGGTTTAAACTATACTATGTATTTTGATTCCTTAACATGATTGGTGAAAAATCAATAAAATATTTCACTGAATCAATCACTCACTGCAAAACAAACGGTCGTCGGTTTAATCAATGAGTACTAGTACTTAATGCCAGGTAAATAAAAAAAATGTTGTTTCTCGTCCTAATCTTTTAAAAAAAGGAAAATTTTAGGGCATTTTTTTTTAACTCCCAAGATGGCGAATCCAAGATGGTCGATGGGAAACAGCTACTACTTTCTCACTTTTACCATGCAGACAGATTGAAAGCAAATAAAAGAAGTACTTGACATGATTCACAATCGACAAATATGCGACTTAGCCAGATTTTTGTACATTTTGTAAAATAAAGGAAATTAAAAAAAAAAAAAAATGTTGGTGAGGCAGAGAAAATTAATGTGCGAGGAGATGAGAAACTAGAAATTTGTATTATTTGGCCTAACCTGGTTTAATCAGATTCTGCAATATAACAGTTACAACAAATACACTTGATAAACAATGAGAAAATTTTACTAATTGTATTGTATTAAGTAGTTTACTATGTTAATACATGTACTTTAAACCTGGTTTATATTTACAGTTCTCCAACAAAGAAACAAACTGACCTTTCAGCTAAGCCGCCGCCCCTTGGATATTGTTGCTAAGGTCCCTTAAAGTGACTATGTAAAACTATGCAAACATGTGCATTTGTCATCAGACAAAACATGTTTTGAAGCATGCACATATTCCTGGCCCTGTTGTTGTTGGTCAGTTAAGTTTGATTGACACACTCCGGAAATGTCCACTATGTAACCAATTTCAATCAATATGAAATGAACATGAAATTACTATGTACTTGGGCCTAATCAATATAATGATTATGTGACCAGGTTTAATAAATATGACTATAGTATGTAACTAGGTTAAATCAATAAAATGACTAACCAAGTACAATTAATGTTCATCAATTCAAATGAAGAAACAAATTCAAACAGTTGTAAGATTGCGTTCATTATGTGTCAATCAACTAGAAATAATAATGATAAGTTCTAAGTACGGTGAGATACTCTGAAGCCATAACCAGTCCAGTGACAGATTCAAAACCCTTTCCTCCCCCACCTAAATCAGGGGCAGATCCACAGATGTCCAACAGGAGGGGGCCCGGAAGCGGCCGAAAATTAGGGCCGATCGAGATAATAATACTCTAGGGGTCCGGGGACATCTCCCCACCCCTTTGTTAGGCACCTGTAAATTTGTAATATGTGAGTATTGTAAAAACTATGGAGCAAAAAAGAAAATTATATTCAAATTTAAATGTGAGAATGCCATTTCCAACCATACAGAGGTGCCATAATTATAATTTTTCTTACCTCAGCCCAACCACGGTGGCAATGCCGTAGCCAGCTATTGGGACAGTTGGGAGAATCCCACACAATTTGTATAATGGGTCCACAAAGAATGGGTCCACATTTTTAAAAATGGGTCCAAATTATGCAATTTTATGCATAAAATGGGTCCACTTTTTAAAAGATGGGTCCAGATTCTGATATTTAGCCTAAAATGGATAACATTTTTGAAGAAACTGGGTCCAGATTTTTTTTTTTTTTTTCAAATCTCCCCCCCCCCACCCATCCTTAGTACCTCTTATTGAACATTTTATTACTTTATTACTGTAATTAAGAACATTACATAAATCTTCTTTAAACTGTTTAACTTCTCTCATTTTGTTGTTTATATGTCTCGTAGCCTATACCACTTTCTTCACAGATCCATAATTTTTTATTTAGTCAATAAAATATTTAGTTTCTTGCCTGTCTAGATGGTTCTGGCAGGATCATCTTGCTAAATGCCAAAAACAAATATTTAGTGGTTTTTCTTTCCACACTCTTCTGATGACCTCAAATTAACATTCACTAAACATGTTTAAAAAAAATCCTAATAAAGTAGGCTAACCTATTGCCAAACATAGAATTTCTAACCTATATCCCTACTTCCTAAAGCAGTTATAAACATCATGATGGAACCCTATGTAGAAATCAGATCAAAAAGCAATGAGACTGCATGACCTAGTCTACAGCCAACAAAATCTGGGTGACCCCTTGTCTGCTAATTGAATCAAAACCCAGAATGTGTTTGAATTGTAAATTGAGAATGTTGTAATGTATTGTACATGTACATTGTTGTCAAAAGCAATTGACGTTAAAGCTTTATAATAGCATACTAAAATAAGACACGGCTTCTCTTTCCTCTCCACCGAAAAATTATTATAATGGCTCTCTAGACTCCTACAGCAACAGACCATTGTTGACCCTGGGGATGAATGATATGGAGGTAAACTACAAATCTCTACTTTTTAGGACCCTGGGACTATAGTGAGACAAGATGCTGAACTACCAACCTCCACTCCCAGGACCTTGAAATTGGAAGACAAGAATCTTATGTTTTCATTATCAAACCAAGAAAATGGATACACGTTTCTGTCCAATCAAATCGAATATAATATTTTTTTTTTTTTTGTAATTTGTTTTAGGCCCAATACCAAGGATATGCCAAACAGCAAACCTAATCACTTTTCAAAGTGGCACATCCTTTCACAAGATCAATTAAACTCAAGCCAAGACGCTCTACATTAACTAAGCCTCATTGTGAGGCTTAGAAAAGTGGAGTTGTTTTTGGTGGTGAGAAAAAAATTCCTGTTACGTGACAGGAATTGAACCCAGGACCCTGGGATTAGAAAGCAAGCATCTTATCTTACCCACTAATCTATTGAACTCCACTCTACTCAAGGTATCTGTATCAGTGGGGATACCAGAGGGGAGTCAGGGGGATGGGAATGACAGTCATTACAGGGGTGGTACCACCTCATAATGACACTCAACTCTTCTTCATAATGGTACTAGAAACACATACCTACCCAAACCCACCCAAATGCCTGCACATAGTAAGTACCTTCCAATGACACTCAAAAATGTACACGTACTGTATCAGGGGCGGATCCAGAATTTTTCAAATGGGGGAACAACATATTCAGAATATATAAGTGAGAGCGCTAATTTCAACATATGCCTTGAAATTTTAAAATTTAGTGGCAAAACGGGGAAAAGGGTAAGTGCCCCCCCCCCCATTTCCCCTACTGGATCCACCCCTATGTATCTACTATATATAATAAATCTAAAATAGAACACATACTTAGCTCCTCAACATACTAAGTACTGGTACCTCCTTATAATGACATTTAACTCAAATACCTAGAACGCTACTTTGATACCTGTCATAATGACACTCAAATGCCTAAACATAGGCCTACTAAATAACCTACTGACACTCAACTACCTAGAACGTGTACTCAACTCTTCCTCATCATGACACTTAAATGAACTACACATACGTCACATACATATGTCACTTATCTCTACCTAGAACATAATAACTTTAGCTCGCCCCATAATGATACTCAAATGCCTGCACATACTAAGTACCTTCTTACAATAAAACCAAAATACCAAGAAACAATCTCGGGCCCCCTCCCCCCTTCCCATAATGACGCTATAATGCCTACACACACTAAACATCTTACAATGAAACCCAAATACCTAAAATGCATACTTTTAGCCTCTACCTTGTAATGATGCTCAAATACATACACATATGAAATGCCTCCTTATAGTGACACTCAAAATACCTAGAATAGTAGTACTAAATGCTCCCTCATAATGACACTCAAATGCCTACACTTACGTACCTGCTTAGAATGACACTCAAATACCTAGAACATATTTAGCTTCCATCGTAATGATGCTAAAACACCTAAACCTACTAAGGGGGCCATCATAATTTTCAAAACAATGCTCTCCTCAGTGACTCCCTCCCTCTCCCTGAAAGACTACACAAAAAAATGATTTGTGTCATTTTGAGATCAACATTTCATCTTCTTCATAAAAGGATACTTATGCCTACTCTTTCACCCCCTCCCCATACCCTAAAGCATATGTTTTGTACTCTTTTGAAAATTGTGGATGCCCACTAAAGAGCTTTTTATTAATGAACCCAAATATCTAGAAACTTTACTTTGCTCTATTGATAATTATGCTATAATGCCTACAAATACTACTGCACTTTATACAACTTTATATAATCAACTCAAATACCTAGAGTGCTACTTTGCACCACTCATGACAATACTCACATGCCTATCATACTAAATAAGCTCCTTATAATGACACTCAAAATACCCAGAACATACAGTATATCTCCCTAATTATGACACCTCAATGCCTACACATACTAAGTATCTATTTACCCTTGATTTTGTCCTTTATCCATGAAAAAAAACTTTAAACAATCATGGTTACTTTTGTTTGTTTTGTTATCCTCATATTATTTTCTGTAATCATTTGTGTTACTCCCCACCATTTTTTGTTTCTTGGTAACCTTTTGCTTCAATGGTGTTTTCATACTGTTCTTTTAATTTTATACTTTCTTCATATTTTGTTACTTTACATGGCCTTGCACGGTCTTGACGAACAACACCCTTGGGTGAATCAAGTGTATCCGTGTAAAAATAAAGTGTATTATTATTATTATTATTATTATTATTATTATTATTATTATTATTATTATCTCAAACACCTACACATATACTAACTTCATATAACGAAATACCTTGAACGCTACTTAGCTCGCCTGATAATAAATTCAGGGATGTGAACAGTTAATGATATTTTCAGCTGAAAATGGCAGGGGTCAAGAGGGCCACAGAAGGCCCCCTTGCAGGGTCCAGAAGCGTTTTGAGGGTTTTAACTAATTAAAATCCATTCTGAAAGGGCCTCCATATGAAATAAACAACTCCAATACAACACACTCACTTTAATGGTTAAAAAAACAAGACAAAACAAAAAAAAAACAAAAAACTTAAAGGACTTCAATAAAAATACTGAGCAACACATGTTTCATGATCCCATAAATCTTTATTCTGTAGAATACAACAGTATTATTGAGCTTTACCCAGATAGGATAACATCAAAAATTATTCTTCTCTTATGAATAACTTCACTATAGGTCCACTAGATGTCACATCAGTTGTTGTTGTAGTACATGTACTGCTAGGCCCAGCTAAAAAAAAAAAAGAAAGCATGAACATAATTTATTTTGAATAACCTTTTGTTTTTCTGTTGCTGGAGCAACCACCTATTAAGTATTATTTTCATTTAAGCCTACTTAGGGCCTACCTTTTTAAATTATTTTTCAGTTTTCATTTACTTATTTTGACAATTTGTCCAAAAAAAAAAAATATCATAAAGCATCACTGGCCTTAATTAAGAACCCACATTAGTACTGTTGCCATTAGTAAATAGAGGCCTAAAACTAAGGCAGCACGCAGTGGTGACGATACTTCGGCCCCGCAGACGACAAATATCTAGGCCTAGCCTAGAGAGCATGCTCAGGCGCCTAGCGCTAGGCCTAGGCCAATGCTCGTCGCCGCAAATTGCTACGTCGCTGACAATTTTATCGGTCAAAGAAAGTCTTACCATCATATCTGTAATTTACTCACCTTGTTTATTAGGATTTAGAAAATCCATCACTTCTGTAATTCGTCGATTGGTAAACTGATGTTTGGCCGACTTTGCATGGTCAGTCAAGGCTACAGTACCAGACCTCTCCATCCGTAACTAACTTTTGTTTCACAAGCCTGACACCAAACTATCCCAGCACTATCGATCTTCTTGAAAATATCTCCTAGCTTGTAGTTCCGTTATTTTCCTTCCACATCTATAGATACAATCTTCTCAAGCCACTTCCATTTAAACTTGTTCTTCACGGACATGTCGACATCGCGAATAATATCCGCATTACTTTCATCGAGAAACTTGCCCGCCCTACATACAACACCGTGACATCGTTTCACTATGTAAGACCAAGGAGAGTCACCTACCTCACATCACAAGTTCAGTTCGGTGTGTGCAGGATGACACAACAACGAGCAATTTTGATTGGCTACATCGAATGCGGTAACAATAAAATACGATGCAATTATTGGCAGTAGATAGTTAATTGAATAAATTACGATTTTTTTTCTGTATGCTACCTAACCATACCCCCCTAAAATTTTCTCAACAGATTTGTGTGATTTACGAGAACTATTAAAACCGATTAAAAATCGCAGAAAATTCACACAACTGTAATAAAGCTCTAATGCCTAAAGATACTAAAGTACGGTAACTGGAACCAAATAGCTAAAATGCATACTTATTGCTCTCCTTGTAATGATGCTCAAATACCTAAAAATACTACATACTACTTTCAGTACCTCTTTACAATACTAAGTCATACTTAGCTCCCTTCATGATGACACTCAATTTCCTACACCAGTACAAAGTACTTCCTTATAAAGACAATCAAATACCTGGGTACACTAATAGCTCCCCTCATGATGATAGTCAAATTCCTACATACTCTAAAGTACCTCCTTATATAATGACACTTAAATACTCCCTCATGACACTCAACTCAAATGCCTATGAAGTAGACACTAACAAGTTCCCCTCATATTGGTACTCAAATACCCAATAGAGAAAATTTCCTTTCCAATGACGATGAAATAGATAGAACACCTACTCGGCTGTCTGTGGGAGTATTCCATAATGCTCTGTAGATGGTAGTTAGCGCTTTGGCATTTTTATTCCTATTGTGTACAGTACCTACTTATTCTTTTGGATGTAAAGACACCTTCCAATCAAATAACATATTGCAGGCTTAAATTTTTCTTGAAAACAACTGTAATTCCAATCACGAAAGAATGAAGCAATATAGCGGTCAGTTATATCCATGCTAGGCTGACTTGTGTCACCTAGATACACCCTCATCGTTGGTGTTCATCAATGAAACTATTATCACGAATAGAAAAAAATTGACTTCCTGATGTCTACACTCAATTGATTGACATGAAGTCTTTAGAAGTATTAAAATTGATTGATATTTAATCAACCAGATTATGAAGCATCAAATTAATTGACTTAAATTGATCCAGTCAATTAAAATTATGAACTTATTATGAAGTACTAATAAAACGAATTGAGTTCAGATTGATATAAAATCAATTAATATAAAATCATTAAAAATTAATTACCATTCAATTTAGCCTATCCTCCTTCCTACCCCCACAAAAAAATTCAAAAATTCAAAAACAGAGAAAATGGGGTGGAGTACGAAAAGTAAATTTCAGTATAAGAATACCATTTCTTACCATCTAAAAGTGCCAGGGACACTAAAGTTTGTACCACTATGTTTGGTACTGAGGTGCGCTGGACCATCGATCTATAAACTTAACTTTCCACACCTCCACCCCCTTCTATTTTCAATTCCTAGATTCAACATTGCTAATGTACTCATTTTGTTCTTTTTCTAGGAATTTTGTAGAAAAAACAGAAGGAAGACATTCCATTTTTAAAAACTTAAAAAGTAATGTTTTTTTTTTCTTCTGAAGACATGGAGCAAAAAAAAAAAATAATAATAATAAAAAATTGATTGAATCCCAACCTGGTATATGTGACTGATTTAAAAATATGTCATATACCATACAGCAATGACATATTAAATAATTCTACATTTGATTTTTAAGTATTGTACATTACCAAAGAAAAGCAACCCTTGAACGTAAATATCAATTAAGTCAAAGATTGAACAAATGCAAATATATGTGCACCATACAATAGTTTTGACATAAAACTTATCAGTCACTTATGGAACAATAGGTCTGCTAAAACATATTTCAAATGTTTCGTAAACCACTCCATGTGTAAACTAACTAGAGCTGTGATAAGCTTAAACTATTTTTATAATACAATTTCAATAACATTTAAAATTTGTTCAATCCTTTATTGTTATTGATTTACTTACAAGACACAATTGATATTCTGTGAACTTTGCAACTTCCTCACTGTAAATTAACCCTCTTAGGTGGGTAAAGTGCAGATTTTGTTGACTTTTGAAATAAGAAATTTATAATAGTAGATACTGAAATGATAATGTGGTAATATAACTGGCTAAAAGTATACAATCTACAATTGTGTTAATATTGTAGGTTGTGTTTACATTGATAAACTGATTAGAAATAGAACCATATAAAACCCCATAATCTAAAAACAGCTAGATATTTTTTTTAATAAAAAGGTAAGCATTATCCAAAAGGTCCACTGATTAATCGGAGAAAAGAAAGTATAATACATAGGTCTCTCCAATTATTGAAATGCGCACCATCATACCGGGATTCAATATTTTAAAATTAATTATGTCAATATCAGGAATTATTCCTCATGATGACATAAATGTTGAAATATTGAATCCTAACATGATGGCATGCATTTCAATACTTAGAGTATGTATTATACTTTCTTAAGCATTATCATTGTGTATAATTGAATGTTCTGATATAATAACATTTTTGAAGTTATATAAATTCAATAGGAATATCGTACATACACCATAAGTTATAAAGTGTGCTGAATAGTCCCCTCTCTAGTATCCAAATACATTCCAAGGTCCCTAGCGTCCTGCATATCGCAGGATTCTCCTGGAAATCGGGATGGCCTCCCGCACTAATGCATGAATCTCCAGGAAAATGACCCATCCTATGCAAATTCATTACATTTGCACAATTTTACTAATTCAGGCGAGACTTTTTTTATAAATTGTTTTGCGAACCCACCGCTCTCCAATATTAATAATTTAGAATACAAATAAAATTTTATTTTTTTGGCCAACTAGCGTACCCACCGCCTGGAAATTTCAGAAAATATTTCAAGTTTTTTTTTCTTATTTTTATTATGCCCACTGCTGCCTTGAAATCTCAAAAATAAGATTCCTAGTATAAATTTAAAGCATTTAACCATCCCATTTAATACTACACTGTTTACATTCAACAATAAAATTTTATTTTATTTTATCTTCCGTCAGGATGTTTTGGCAAAACTATTTGCTAAACAAGAAAACAAAATTTTTATTTTATTTCCGCCTGTCTCTGACAAGCTTTAAAAAAATAAGTTTGTATAACAAGGAATAAAGAAAGCCTCGCCTTATTTATTAATTGTCTCAAGGAAATCAGTGACAACAATGGGTATCACCATTATCAGCAAAATAAAATTATTAATGTGTCAAGCTTACCTAACAAGATCTCCTAGGAGTGACTTCTTCCAAATTGGGACCCCTGACACTTAGTAGTTCAAAATGTAGTTTTTTACCTATAAAGTTTTCAATTGTAATTATTTAATCTAAAGCCTACTACATTATCATTTGAATATGAAATAAGATCTTAATGTTTTTTATAATGTATTACGATATTAAAAGATTAATTTCTTTCACAGGTATTACTTAGTAATAGAATCCTATGATGAGATCACAATGTGTACAAGAAGAACATACACCATCCAAACATTCAGCGTGATAATGGTAATTCTAAATTTTCATGCATATGAGGCGGTGAGGTTTCTTTACCAGCCAACAGACCATTCAGCAGTAGAGGGAAAACAAACACATGTTACCTGTATCTTCACAGACATCACCGATATGGAAGGAAAATATGATGTCATCTGGACTAAAGACTCTTACATCATCAGTGAACCAAGTAATGGATTTGATCTGGATCGGTTTAGTTTTCACAATATATATGCAAGCAGCCGACACTTTATAAGGATTGATCCTGTCAGGAGGGAGGATGCAGGAGGGTACAGATGTCATTTTTCACTATATGGTGACATACTTCTATCATCCAACATTTGTACACTAACCATTCGTAAGATCCCATCAGCAGAATACCCACTCATTGTGGTTGGAAAGCCAACTTACAAGACTGGTGACGAGGTCACAATAACATGTTTCTGTGAAAAGACAAATCCAATGGCAAAGCTGGAATGGTTACGACCATCAAAAAATGGAGTACTAGGACTAACTAATAAAACCAGAGAAAATAACACTCATGTTTGGATTGAAGTTACAGTTCCTGCAAACCTAAATCTCAATGGTGTTTACTTTGAATGCAGAATAAAAGTGAGAGATGAAATTGCTCCAAGATACAAAAGCAGTGAACGTCTTCATATCATCGATGGTAGCGAGCTCTTCAAAACTACATCTAAGAAACCACCCAGACAGACACAACAACAAATTGTGACAAGTTCCTTATCAACAGATAATGTGTTGAGTGCCTCAAAGGCAGAAAACAATGAAGCTTCTTATAAAGGAATTTTATGGATAATTGCTGCATGTTTACTAATTGTACTCATACCATTCAGTATTTTACCAACACTGATTTACTCAGAATTTAACGAAAATAACCATGAAATTGATTAAATGTAACCAAAACAAAACAAAGGCATATATTGCATAGTAGGAAAAAGGGTAAACTCCCAACGCTATGAGCTCACAGTCTGTATCTTGTTATAATGTTTTCTAAAGAAGTTCAATTAAATAGTGGACCTGGACCTACTAAACTACGCATAGACGGTCCGGAAAATAATATGATATCTGGTAATAGACTTCAATCAGTACTTAATTTTACCACAAACTGCAGAATCATCAAATGATTACATTTGTTGTATTTCAATATTCATTCTGTAAATTGCCTTCGAACTTTTTAATATTTCCAATTCTTGCCATTTTGTTTTATTATATT